TTTCTTTTAGTTTTTTAGTTCATCTTTATATATTTAATTTTATTATACAATATTTACTTATTATTAAACAATATTTAGAAATCAATTTCAAATTTTTTGTTATTAAAAAATTAGTTTGAGTATTTATTTTTTATATATATTAATTATCTTTTATATTTCAATCTTAATTGAGTGAATAAAATCAAATTAAAAACCATTACAGTAATACTAATTTATCTTATTCTTCAAATATCCAAATATTTAATATTTCAAAAGCTCATTTACATAAATTAGTTTTTTAAGATTCTATCTTTTTTTATATATATACCCTAGAGTACTGACTTTTACAAGGCTTTATAGATTATGGATTATTTTCTTAATGTGTTATCTAATTTATAAAATTACATTGAAATTTAGATCTCCCCATAGCTGAGAGACTAGGCGAAATGTACAGTAATTAATTTTTAATACTTTAAGGTAAAATCTTCAAATAAAGTAAATTTTTATACATTTATTTAGGTGAATAATAAATTAAAAAATATTTACAAGATAATAAAATTGTAAGAATTAAAAAATAAAAGGGTGTATTTTTTTACTAAATAGAGGTATTAATAACTTTATTAATTTTTTATGTAGTTTTATACATCAAAATTAATATTTTTAAATATTCTTAAAATTAATAACACATAAATAATTTCCTTTAAAATACAGAGCTTCAAAAATACCTTGAAAATTATTTATAAGGAAATTAATTTGAAATTTATTAGTAAATAAATAAAAAATACTAAAAATATATTTAAATTTCATTTTATTTATTAAAAGAAATTATGAAAAAATAAAAATTATAATTAGAGATACAATCTTTTAGTATTTGAAAATTAATCAAATATTTTAACAGCTCTTAATTTGTTCACTTAATGAGCCATCTTTAATTTAAGAATTTTTTATTAATTCTATTTCATTTTAAGTAGCTTCTGAATATCCTTTTTAAGAGACTTCTTTAAATTGAGAGTTTTCTGTCACATTTTACTTTTAATTATCTTCAATTTAATTGCCTATAGAATTCTCTTTGTTTTAAGAATCTTCTTGAATGTCTCCACTGTGTGCTTATAAGTAAGATATCTTAAATTTAACATTAATTGGTTTTTAACTATTTGTCAAGTGCTTTTATTCTACGCTTAACATTGATTTTGGTTTAAAACTTGCATAAAGTCCTAATTTATTATTATAAAAATTAAGTTTTTTTTTATAATATTTTTTAGTTTACTTTCTGTTTAACTGTTAATCATCTATGTATTAAAATTAGAGCTGTCTGTTTCAATGCTCAACATTTATCTGTGACTATTTGGTATAGAATCTAGCTACTTAGTAGGACTTAAGTCTTGTAAAAAAATGTTTTCTTAATCTTATTTAGAATTAAGTTAATTATCATTTTCATGTTGGTTTTATTAAGCTTGTATTTTGTTTTAAGGGAATTTAATAAATTAATTAAATGAAAATAAAAAATTTACTTGTTTTTGTATTTCTAATAGAAGAGAGCATTTCCTTAATTTAATTTTGATTTAACTTTGCAAACTCTTTTAAAGATGATCTGATCTTTTGCTTTAAAGCAGGATTTATTTTTATCTTTCTTTATTTAAAGTATTTTTGTATTGATGGGTATTTTTCAAAAACTTTAAACAATAGATTAATGACTTAATTATATTTGTCTTTTAGTATTCTTAGAGCTATGTAAATGATAAAAAATGAGTTAATCAAAACTATTATTATAAAACAGCCAATTTTCAAATAATTGTATTAATTATTGTTAATGAAGACACAAAGCAATATTGTGAAAGCACAAATTTAAGTTGAATAATTATCAATTTTATTTAATTAATCTTATTAGTAAGGCTTGTATTTATTTGATAGCACTCCATAAAACAAAATAACTAAGTAGATTAAAATACCTTTCACCATTACAACTTAAGAATAAAAGTTCAGAAGAATAATTATCACAATTTTTTGAATGATTTTAATTATCTCCCAAAAATAGACAGAATCTTTATATTCTTAAAATAAAAACCCATATTTTAAATTTATTTTTACATCATTTAAACCATGTCTTCTTTAGGAAATATAAATCTAAATAAATAGAAAAGCAGGTAAAACAATAGTACACAATATCAAAAAAGGTAGAACTAAGGCTATACTGTAAAATTTATATGTATCTGTGTAGCATTAATAATTCATATTAATTAATATGTAATCTGTGTTCATTATTTTTCTACAGGAAAGAAGGCCAATCATTTAAGAAACTAAGTCTGGTTATACATAAAGGAATAAAAATATTGATGCTGTATATACTGAGTAAGAAAAAAGACGCGTTGACTTGTAGTAACACTTTTATATAATTACTTCATATACTAAGTAAACTAACAAAATAGCTAAAGGGCATAGAATGGAAACAATCAATTTCAAATAAATCAAGGGAATGTCAGAATTTAAATCTTTTATTAAACATTCTAAGTAGTCAATAGATGTAGAAATAGGCACTCCTAAGTAAGAAATTGCATCTATTACATCTTTTTATTTAAATATATATGTTATTTTTTATGGTATTCCATTTATTATTTAATTTGATTGATTTTATTTCAATAAATTTTTTTAAAGTCAAAAAATATAAAAAATTTGTTAATTTAAATTAATTAATTAATTATTTTTTGTGTTTATAAGATTAATTAATGAAACTGAAGGTTTATTTTGATTTCAAAAACATTAAATTTTTAAGATAGTAAATAATTTACATGCTCCTATATTTAAATTAAATGAGACAGCTGCAGAGGCAATCTAAATATAATTAACAAAAATCTTCATATAGATTTTTGATTTCTACTCATAGAGAAGGGTCTTTTATCTATCCATAAATGTGTATACATTTTTTTTATAAAAGGCATTTACAATTAACCTTAATCTTTAATTTTTTTTGTCTCTCCTAACAGTGAGATACACAGCAAAAAATATCCATAATATAGATAAAAATAATTTCCATATATTGTATATCTATTCTTTACATTTTATACACTCAAATTTACTTTTTTTTGTGAAACTAGTTTTCCAATAAGTACCTTACACCTATTTATTTGTGTTATTCGAATAAAAAAAATTTTATTTTTTATAAATTTAATGATTACATCACATTCTTCACACAAAGGCCCGATATTCCCTTCTATACAAACAGCATTTCCATATGAATTTCCTATGCAATTTTCCAATCTATTAGTACATTCAATAATATCTGAGCTGTATTGTTCTTCTCTCCAAAAACCTTGCTTTAAAAGAATTACTCCTCTAGTGCATTCACCTCCAGAAGGGCATGAATAACACCCAGAAAAATCTAGAGAGTATTTACCTTCATCACAAGTTTAACATTCTTAAAAATTATTATTATACGAAGAGATTATTTCACCTTTATTGCATTCCCTAAAATTAACTTAAATAGGATAGGAATAGTTTTGCTCATAACTTTGAGTATTACTATTAAATATTTTTATTGAATCAGATGTAAATTCAATAAAAGACATTTGCCCTGGCTTACCAATCAAAGTCATTTCTTTGAAGATAAAAACATTTTAAACTGGTTCCATATTAACTATTGTTTCTCCTTTGAAAGCTAAAGAATTACTTGTTTTTATTTGAGCTTATAATTGCTACCCTTATAACTAAATAACTTGCTTTAATGTTTCATCTCTAAGTTAAAATATAATATCTGGTAGGGTATCACCACTTTTAAATTTATCCAAAATTACTTTTGCTTAATTACTATTGCTATTTACTTTAAATTTGTTTTAATTTATTAAATATAACTCTTGAGGGTATGAAAATTTATCTGCCCCATAATAATCAGCTATATTGTTATGTATTTAAGAATTTTTATCTAATGTTGGGTTGATCCCTTGATTAAAAATTCCACCAGCAACCAATGCACTGTTTTAATAAATCAATATATTTGTTAGAAGGATATTCTATTGTTATGTATTTTATGCTTATGAACTGATATAAAGTGCACCTCCATATCCCTACTAAGCCCTATTTAAAGTAAATTTACTGTTAATAAAGTTTAACTAAAATACCTATTGAGAAAAAAGAAATAAATATCTACTATAAATGCTATAAATTATAATACATCTTGCTAGTTTGTTTACAAGAAAAAAGCTCCTCCATCCTTATTAACTTCATTATTTATAAAATACGTGTTCTCAATAATATTATAATTAGAATTAAGTCCAACTACTGAGAATTAACCACCATTAGATGACTATTCAAAAATTATTAATTAAATTAAATTAAAAATTAGAATTACAATACCTAAGAATCTATAAATCGGCAATCTTAAACGATTAGAGTAGATTATTGACTTAATATTGATGAGCCTTAACAGTTGTATAAACAAGAAATTGAATTAAAAACTGAATTTTAATTTATTTTTAATTATGAGTTTGTAATCCTGATCAATGAATTAAAAGAGCCTTAATTATTTTATGTAGATTCTTCAATTATTCTTGATTTGGGTATAGATTAGTGTATATTTTAGAATTTGGTATTTTGTATTGTGAGCTAACCTTGGATGAAGTCAATCAGGCTTAGAGTAAAATTGTTTTTTTCAACTATTGAATTTTAAATAGTCACATTTGAAGAAGTAGCACTCATTAAAAGAGGTGAAGAGCTTGTGGGTATATTTAAATTGCTGAAATTCAATTAATTTATAGTTACCTCAGAATTTTAAAGTTGGAATGTCGTTAATTAATCATACTTAATTTCATTAAATAAATTTAATACCTAAAACTATTAATTATGAGTGACAGCCATGCTTTGTATAGTTAAATTACATTTTATTGCATTTAAAAATGCAGAATTAGTACCTCCAAAAGCATTCAAAATTTTTATACCTATTAAAATAATATGATTCTGTTAGCTTTGCTAAATTAATTAAGATTGCCTAATTTAATGTATAAATTGAGATAAAATAAATATATTTTCTATAAACAATTATTACCCAATAGACAAAGCTTTTGAATTAGAAGAATTTGAGTAAATATCTGAAAAATTGCATTAATTAAATGATAAATCAAATATCGCACTTTAAGGGTCTAAAAATAGAGCTCCTCCATCCATAATAGAAAATCCTTAACTAAACTATGATTAATTCACCTCAATTAATAACTTCTAATTTTATGGTTCGATATATAAAAATGAACCTATCCTAGATGTTGATTATGAGAATTAAGTATTATTAATAATCAATGTATCTGTTTTAACCCTTAGAAATCCGCCATTTTATTTAAATATATAGTTATTATCATTCAGGTCAAATGAAGATTTGCTAAATGTACAATTATTTATCTTAGTAGAATTGCTCTAAAAATATAGAAAATTATACTATGAGTTAGACTTAGAGTTTTAAAAAAGTGTTATTATAAAGTATTATATCTCCTCCAGAATTTAATACCTAAATAGCAGTAGTTGATTATGTTTAGGGATTAAGAAGACCACTTAATTAATTGTCATGAAAGTTGGAATTGGAAATTGTTACTGTAGTCTGGTAAAAAGATGAGATAAATAGAGGATTTGCTTAGGTGTTAACTTTTGTTTGCTAAAAAAAGCAATTAAATACTTCTATTTTGGAAGCATTAATTTAATTTTACTAGTAATTTTAGTTTATTATGCTTAATATTGAGTTATCTATTGCATTAATATAACTTGATTTAAAAATGTTTATATTTAAAATATTTATATCTTCAAATTAGAAACATCCTGCATAAGATTCTGACAAAGCAGCATTTATAAAACTTTGTTAATTTGAACAAGTTATATTAAATAAACTTGCATTTTTTGATTAAGTAATTGAAGAAAATGCTATCTCTACATGATTTTAAAAAACAATATTTTAAATGCTAATGTTTAATAATTTATTTATTTATATTAATGGAATAGTTAATTTATTCGTATCAGAAATATTTTATGAATCAGATGTGTAGGAATTATTAGATGCATAAATGTTATTAAGAATTAGAGTATGCATAGGAAGTAAATTAAAGTAGTAAATTGCATTGAAGAATAGGTAAGATGCCATTGTTTAAAAAGAATTCTACTAAATGATAACATTTTGGAAAGAAAATTGGTTATTATTTTGACTTATACTTGTTACAGTAGTAAATACTGATTAATCACAAAATTAATTACGAATAATCTTCATATCGTTTACATCGAATTAGCTAACTTAAAATAAGTAACCTACAGTTGAAGATTTTCTCGCCTAAGATTTACTACAAACGTTATTTTAGATAACAAAGGAATTTATAATAACTTGAACATCGTTTATCTATTCTAATATAGAAAAGTCTTTTCCCAAAACACTGCTAGTTAAACTTATGTTATTTAAAATGATCTATTATTATTAATAACAATATAAATTAATTAATTTATCTATTTTTAATTTTTTTTAGAATTATTAACTTTGAAATATTCAAAAATAATTTTAAATTAATGATTGAAAATAATAAGAAAAATAATAATTTACTTAATTGGAATTAGAGACTTGAATAATTTTATTGAAATTAGTAAAGTCTTAATTTGTAATATTAATATTAGATAATGTTAATTTTGAATTATTAACTACGATTGAATAGCAGCTGACTGCTGTATTATTAGAATTTAAATTAACATTATCTATATATACTTAGTTTACATTATCAAATTGTAAACCACAAGAAGGTTATTTATCTGTTATGTTGTAAACTATTAAAATATTCTTCAATTATAAAGACTAGAAAGAAGGAAATTACAATTAATTAAAAGCTGTTAGCTTTGCTTAGTTTGATTAATCAAGGTTAATAATATTAAGATTTATCAAACTTCCATAAGAAATATCTAATAATTCATGGTAGATAATCATGGAATTCTATGAGTTAACATGTAAATTAACATCTATTTTCTAAACTCCATCAACAAATTAACTATACTATTGTGCCTAAATTTTAAAAGTATAATTTAATTTAACTAAAGAAATATTAATCTTACTAATAAAAATGAAGTCATTAATTATTTAGATGATTTAAATGGAGAGTCTTATGTTCCATCTCCATACAAGTAATCAGGTTGTTGATCTTCACTTGTATTAAAATAAAAATCCATTTCACAACTTAAGCAATCATTAATATTTTATAGACATTACTCAATAGGGATATATATATTACTGTATCTATACTGGATCCATAACATTTTAGTGCTTGGTACATAACTTAAATTTATTGATTAATCCCTGCTATAATTTGCAATAAATTTCATAAATAAAACAAATTTTCTTGTTGTTGAGTCAAATTTATATAAAAATATCTCGCTAGTTAATTTATCTCCGTATCCTAATAGCGAGATACTTTCAAGCGAGTTTATGTGATTGGGCATAGATGTTAGCTTATCTAATAACTAAGTGTTTCCATTATTTATATTATAGCTTATCACTTAAAAGTCTGAGCAGACAGCTATTAAATACATCACGTTTCCATCATGGTATAATTCCCCTACACCTGAATTAGTGCACTAATATTATGCTTATTTTAATATAAATTATTATGAAATTCTATTTTATTGATATTAATTTACTTATAGTTGTTTTTCCTTAGAATTTTGTGATATCTTATGAACTCCATTTATAAACATTTCCAAATACATCTAGACCTATAATTTGTTTGTTTATATCTGAATATATTGCATAACTAGTTTCGTTAATATTGTCATCTTAACTATCAGAAACTAATGTTGAATGGATAGATTAGCTAATTTCAATTATTATAAATAAAAATAGCTCATTATTTTTTTTATGAGGTATACCAAAGATCACCCAATAATTACGTTAGCCATCATAATAAGCTTCTACTTATTAACTCATTTGATTATAATCTAATCCATAAAATGGTAATATTTATGCAGACTATTTAAAAAAAACTTTATAAAATATTTTAAAGAAAAAATATTTAAAAATTACATAGCTCTATTCAGTTGGCATTACTTTATTGAAAGTAATTATATTACCATCTATCTGATTTATAAAACAAGCTTAGCAGTTTTTATATTAAATAAAACTATTTATTGATTACTTTATGAAACACATTATTATAAATATATTATACTATATTTCCATTAAAATTATCATTAGTAACAAAAATAAACTATTATTAAGCATTAACATAGTAATTCACTTGATCAATTTAGATAGAATAAATCTTTGTAAAAGACATTGCATAGGAAACTTTTTATTTGGTAAAAAAATAACTAAATAATTATTTGTTAAAATAATTTATATTTTTATTTCTGTTTGAATTAAAGATAGAATAATTTTTTGATGAATAAATATTAAAAAAACAGATAATTTATTATCTAAATTAAAGTTAAAAAATTATTTTTAATTAGTAATGATTTATTTCTATTTAAAATAAAATATTTACGTTGTATTTATTGCTATTAACTAGTAGCTATATCAAATATATATGTGTATGTTTAATAGTAACTATAACCATTCTAAAGTGGTATCAGGAATTTATTATTTTCTGCCAAATAGTACCATTATGCTATTTGATTATCTTGTCTATAATATTAATATGGATTATCTAAATTACTAAAAGCAATTTCAGCTATGTTACTGTTTAACTAAAAAGTTGTCTAAATATTTAGTGTGTATATAAATTATAGATCACTTAAATAAATATTTTCTTATTATCCAACTCTTAAAAATTTCACATTTAAGATACTATATTATGAGTTTTATAAATCTATTGTTAATTTTAAAGTTAAATTAAATTTTAAAAAATAGTTTTTTTTATTTATATTTTACTTATGTTATTCAAAAGTTGATATTTCATTCCATCCATAATCTAAAAAATATTTAGAACATAGTAAGATCCAACAGTAAATATAATATCATAACTATCATGTATATCTATATCAGTGTATGTGAACGGGGGGTATTAATCTTTTTATTAAAATATTAAATCTCTATTTTATAATTTATCAATAATTTTTAAAATTTACTTGCTGGTTATACTAAATAGCCAGTAAATTATATTTGTAAATTAGATAAATTCAAAGACCATGTTTAGAAACCTTATTAATCTAGTACAGCTAAGAAAACAATACCACTTTAAAGTTTAAAACCTTTGGATAACTAAATAACATTATCTAAATTGTTTGTGTATTAGCAAACATCAAATGAAGTGATTTATGTTAACGTTAAAGTGTCAATTAAATTGCTTTAGCAAGAACGCTGTGAAATTAAAGCTAAAGAAGTATTTTTAATTAGAAATAGTGATGAAATAACATCTAAGATTATATTTTTTTCTGCCTTTAATGTATAAACATCTGCTATAATTACTTAATAATAACTGATTGCTAATATTTTGTTGATTTCTTCCAAATATTCCATTTTTATGATAGTATAGTCAGCTTTATTTATGCATATTTTAAACAGATTATTATTGAAAAGAGAATAATATAAATAAAAAAATACGTTTAATTGCATTTATAATATTGCCTTCTTACTTAGAAATATCCATGTAGTAAATTAAAGCTTCCAGTTATACTAAATTCCCTTTCGCTACTAATCATTCCAGTATTAATCATAATAATATTTGTTTTAGGTATCTTGAGATAGTTCTAAATGTTATATTTTTAATCAAACATGGGAGCTATTTATTTTATTTAAAACTTATAAAAGTATGAAAAATATTTAAAAATATCTACAATACTAAGCTGTAATCTATGGGCACTACGCTGCTTTAACGTTTCCATTTAAATAAAATAGAATTATCTGTTATGATATAAAAATAAAAAGTATCCAAATCATTATTTTACTAATTTTTATACTTCTTAATACTAATTGAATTGGTTATTTTTAAAGACTTATTAATATTACATTTATATAATGTAATAATCAAAAATTTGGAATAATATAATTAAAACGCGACTAATATTTAAGTCAAACTAAATTTTGATAATTATTTCAATTTTTAGCTAAAATATGAAGAATTAATAAATATATAATACAGTAAGCTAAAACAAATTAAATAGCCCATGCTTTTATTAGAATAACAAGCTAAAATTTACTTAACTAAAAACGTGAATTTTTTACCTTCATATATAAAAGAATTTTTTCTATTAAAGATATTTCTAGCTTTTTATTTATTAAAATTTGCTTAATATGTAAATAAAACTAAAGTTACTCACATGAAATTAATTATTTACTGCATATCTTCTGACTATAAATTAGATGATTCAAATTATATATATTAAAAAAGTATAATTATTTATGCATGGTTTTTTTAAAATTAAGAAGATATTGCTTCTTGCTCACACATTAAGTATGAATACAGCTAACCTTTTACTTTTATACAATATAAGATTTTTCTATAGCACATTTTCTTTTATTTCCTTCATATATATTTTTCTAAAGAACAAATATTAATTAAATGAGTTTGTCTTAATATAAAAAGAATAAATACCTTGAAGTTAATTTCAAAAATTAAAGTGTTTAAATCTTTTTTAAGGAGCCAATAATGTAATTTAAACCTGCTTCTTTTATCTAATTTTATCTTTTTAAAAATAAACAAAAACTCTTCAGGAAAAATATTTACGAAATGTCAATTTCTAATGTCTATAAAAGTATTAATGATAAAGTATCACCTATAAATTGACTTGCTTAATCTTTTAGCGAATTATAGCTTTTAATAATTTAAAGTCTTTTATATGGTTATTGATATAAATTTATTTACGAGATATCTAGTCTCAAATGCTTTAATTCATTTAAATTTCTAAATTCTTAAATTGACTTTATCCCTTCAACTCTTATTGAATTATGTCTTAAATTTAGTAAATATCAATTTAAACTTTATTAATATTTATATTTTTCTTACTTTAATATCAGATTAAGAAATTTTAGATTGGATATTTTAGAAACTCTATTAAGTAAAATTTATGCAACTTATCAAGCATTGAATTTCTTCTGTTATTATTATAAAATATAAAATATTTATCATTGCCTTTAAATTAATTAGTTAATCCACATCAAATGTCAAATTTTAAATATTATCAGATTTACTAAAATCACATGGCTTGTTATTACTTAAAAGATATCAAAAAAATATTTTTTAAAACAAATTTACGCTAATATTAAAATTATTTTTTTAGCATCAAAGTATAACAGTTCTTATCCAATTAAGGAATATCCCTAATTTCCTATAGAATTAACTCTTTTATAAGTATAAAGTATAAAATTAAATTAAATGTTAAAAAAATCACCTAAAATCCATATGAATCTCATCAAATAGTTCTTTTTAAATAGGTAATAAAGATAATTCTTTTTTAAGGGAACTATCATCCAAATCTTTGTACCTTTTTTAAGCATTTAAATGCTTCATATATTCTAAGTAAATATTAATTTTACATTAAATTTAAGTTTAGCTTAAATTTGCTATTTTCTTTATTTGAATCTAACTTTTTGCACTTTAAATATAATATTTCAACAATTAGCTTTTAAAATAATTAAATTACTATCAAATTTTATTTTTGCTAAGCTTTTTCTTCTGTCATTTTTTTAATAATTTCTTTTATTTTGATTTATTATACTTAATGAATTTATATATTTTTAATTGATTGATTTTAAAAGAAATAATTGTTTGATTAATAATTTTATGTTACATTAAAAATTAAATATAATTTTAATTATCATTTTAAATATCTGCTTTTTATAAAGTAAATAGTATAGTAAAATATTTTTTAAGTATTTTTTTCAATTATTAATTGAGTTTTTATAATGATCACCAATTAAAATTTAATAATTATTTTAAGATTAAAAATAGAAGTTTAAATAGAACAAAACTCTATAAAAAATAAAACTTTTACTTTAAAAATATGTTTAATCTAAAACATTAATTCAAAAAAAGAATAAGGTATCTTTTTATATTAAGCAATAATTAATAAAAATATATTTATTTATCCGAAAAGTTTTTACATATTAGTTAAAATATTTAAAAGTTAATTAACTATAGTTAGCATAAATGAATAAATTTGAAGATATGAAATGATATAAATTTCTAAATATACTTTTTTGATATAATTAAAATTATATTTTAAATAACTTGAAATAAGTATAAATAGTAAATAATTTCTAAAAAATAATTTAATTCATATTTTTCAAAATTTTATTTATTTTTTTTTACATTATTTCCATTTAACTTATAATTAATATTTTATTTTGTTATCTTTTTAATTTTAAATGAATATTTGAAATTTTAATTTTATTTTTAAAAAATGAAAAAATAAAATATTGATTTTTAAATAATTTGTTTTTTTTTCTATTTCTTATTTTATTTAATTATATATTGATTAATTTATATATAGAGAAACTATTATTTTATTTGTAATTTATCCTTAAATTGAATTTTTAAATTCTTTCAATAATTATAAACTAAATACAAATTACATAAAAAAATATAAAATACTTTAGTATAAATTCAGTTAATATTATATTAATTTCTATCAACATTTTAAATAGTTATAGTTGTAAACTTTCACTTTATATCTCTCTATTAAAAAAAATCTTTAATTAGTAATATTATTTATTCATTTTTTATTGAATCAAGTTATTAAGATCTAAAGAAATGAACTATGAATACTCTATTTTGGAAAGAAAATTTTGATGAAATTATCACAAATATCTTTTTATCTAAAACTGATATTTGTAGTTTATGATTTTTAATTAATATTTTATTTCAAATTTTAGAATTTTTATACTAATTACCTCAATTTTCTTGATAATTTTGTGCTCCTTTTAGGATATTTTTAATCATCAGAACATGAATCTATGTTTAATTTAAATTACTTTTGATTTCAATCTTAAAAAAAGGTCATAATTTTATCATAACATTTTTATCTTATACATAATTCTGCTTTTGGAAATATTTCTATAATAATTTTCTATCAATTAAACATGATATATTTTTTATATTTTTTAAACTTAATTTAAAAATAGAAAAATCAAAGTTGATTTAGGATTTTTTAGGATTTTAATTATTAACTAGATATGAATTCATAAATGTGGTTTCTTAGTTATTTAATATTATATCAGAACATCCAAAGTAGAGAAAAAATCAAGAAAAAAAAAATATAATTTTTATTAAATCAATATTAGTTTGTTTTAAATAGTGTTGTAGAGTTGCTACTACATTATTAAGTTTCATAATTTAAATAAATACGCTTTAAGATAAAATATTTTTAGTTTTCTAAATGAATAATATGATTTAATATTTAATATGTTTGAATAAAATGATTTATTTTTTCAATTATAAAAAAGTTTTTTTTTTTTAGAAATAATTTTTTTATACTATTTTATTTTGTTATTCTGATTTAATAAAATTGCACTAAATTTGTATGGATAAAATATGACGAAGAATAAATTAATACTTTTTTGGATATTACCAAAACATAGTTTTGTAATTACGCACCTCATTCTTAGATACTTAATAAAGATAATAAGAAATAAATGAATGAATGGTACAATCAAATCAATATTTAAATAAACTAATTCTAACAAAAATAATAAAAAAGCCTTATTGAATAACATTTAGATTTTATAATGTAGAATATTATCATTGATAATATAAAAGAGCAAGAATTTTATTAATTATTATTGCTTTAAGTTTTTTTTCTTACAACAATTTATGAAGTATTAAGAAATAATTTAGTTAGATACGTATCTTGAATGAATATATCTTTTGAAGAAGAATCTAAAGGTAAAAGAAAGTAATTTAAACAAAAAATTATTCATAAATTATTTGATTAAATTATCATAAATATTTATGAGAACCTTTCAAATCAATTAACAGACGAAATTAAAAAACAAAGAAATTATTCAAGCATTCATTTATTCAAATTAATAAATTAACACAGTTTTTATCTTACTAAATATCAATAACTTTAATAATTAGTATTATAGGACGTAATTTTTTCCAAATTAAATTGAAATTATCTATTTTATGTAGATTTATTGTTGTTCTTTTAGAGAAATGTAAGTTTAATCACAAATGAATTTATTATAAATAAATATTATTTAAGAATCAAATAGAAAAAATAATGTAAAAATAGGAAATTGATTAGAGTAAATTTGGTTAGGAGAGAGTTATTTAAGAAAAAAGAAAGCTATTAATAATTTGATTGCATAAGAAAGAAAAATAATTGATGTAATTGTTATTTTTCATAATAATTTCTATCTATCTATCAATCAATCAACCAAAGCTATAAATTTCATAAACTAATAAAAAATTAGTTATCAATCAAAATTCTTAATACTTAATTTATTAATTTATAATTGTTTAGCAGCTAATATAGTAACTAGATTAACTCATTGTGTTCATTAAAAAATTATTAAAAATAACTAAATAAAGAATCAAACATATTGAGTGAAAGCTAATTAATCATATTTTCATTCATTGATAAGATAATAATACAAACAAATTAACAAGAAAAAACAAAATAGAAGAAACAAATAAACAAAAAAACAAAGCAACCAAGCAATCAATCAGTCAGTCAAGATATATATATATATATAATTTATATATAAACCAATAGATATATATAGTGATAAACATAAAGATAGATAGATAGCGAAGGTCAATAAGTCGATTTTAGAATAAGACCCAGAAGCCAATCAAAACTCTCTATTACTTAAGCGAGTTAAACATTAACTTAAAATTTAAGTTTTCTAACACTATATCAAAATAAGTTTGCTAAAACTCAAAAAAATTATTACTCTTTCTCTTTCCATCTAGCTCACTTAGAAATAAATATATTATAGGATTAAATAATTTTGACACACTGTAATAGTATAAGTAGTAATAATATTGAACAGCAAACGCATATCATGCACAACAAATAAATGAGTATTGCAAATGTATCAGCAGTATCAACAGCAGCAGGATTTTCCTTTGCTCACCTGAATGGTAATAAATCACCAAAAGAACTGTCATTACAATCATCATACAATACTAGAAGAAATTCTAAAGAGAATTTTTGTAAAAAGTTATTTACTGAGAGACCAAAAGCTCGAAAGTTGTCTCACAAGCTGAAAATGAGTTCAGATTTTGAAGATAATGATCGTCATTTTTCTTTAGATGAGAGCCGATTATAAGGCAGCAAAAGTAGGAAACTAAGCGACTGTTTTGAGGGTATTGCGGACTCTAAAAAGCTACGCAACTAATCCTTTTAGCAAGGCAAAGAATATGCTAATAAAAATTCTTCTATAAAAAAAAAGACAAAAGAAAATTTGAATGTCAAGCAAAATGACCCATTTTAAAAGAAAACATAGAAATTGGAAAATGAAAATTCACCTTTTACTAGTCCAATCAGCTAAAATTAGAAATAATTTTCTGTGTAAGAGGAACTTGATTCATAGACAAATATAGATGTAAAAGGTAGTAATCAAAAAAAAGGATCAAGAGTATAAAATTAGTAAAACGATGGATTCGAATTTAAAACATTACGTATAACAGAAACAATTAATTAATACAAAATGACTGCTGACCAAGAAACTACCCAACCTAAAAATCATGGTTCACATATTATCGAAATTATGAATGGAAACGCAAGTGGCCATCAAAATCATAATATTAATGAATCAGGCAGAGATTCAGAAGCTATCAACTAGTCAAACTATAACTCAATTAACGAAGAAGGAGAGCCTTTTTAACCGAGTTTACTTTTACGCACATTTTTTTTCATTTTGATGTTGACTATTTTTATTTGTCTAGCCAGCTATAGCTATGGCTATATTTATGTATTTACCTTCATAAATACTACTATTTATGGAGCGTCTTTTGCATTATTACTGATTTTTATGATAACTACACATCCTTTCTTCAAACTTACTAACGAGCAATAAGTAGACTACTTCACCATTCCCAAATTCGTATATATTGGATTAATTTTATGTATTTCTGGCTTAGTAGGTTATATATTTGGTAGTGAAAAAATTGAATTTCACATTAATGCTTTTAATCTACTTCCAATTGCTGTTATTCTTTTTTTCTCTTTTTTCATGTGTTGCATCTCTAAAAGCCAACCAATATTATACAAACGTCTCAAACTTACATTTGGAAACGACAACAATGAAAGGAAACTCACACTTTCACAATCCAAAGCCTTTCGTAAAGGTAAAGGGATGACTCAAATAAAACTGCCTAGCAATTTAAACAGTAATATTCAGTTTTTTATCATTATTTCGATTACTATTTATATTATTATTTAGAATAAATTCTTAACGAGAATATATATAGAAATATTAGGTTAGATAGATAATCTCAAAAAAAAAAAAAAAAATAAATAAATAATTACCTTAAAATATATCACAATAAATAAACTGGTCCTAAAAATATATTATTAATCAAATAGATTTTATGCGAGACGAATAAGGACCAAAAATAAAATCTAATTCATTTTACTTTTCAATGATGCTTGTTATATTGCTGCAAATTGCTTAGGTATTAATAAATTATTAAATTTATTTAGCCATTTCGCTTTTAATGAATTTTAATATAAAATTAATCTCCAAATATTACAAATCAAATCTTCTTAATTATTTTTTAACCACTGCTTATATTTAATTTTTTGTTTTTTTCGTATCAATCACTTTCTAACTGATTCATTCATTAGAACTATTTTCTATTGCGAATTAAATCATAACTTGTTTAATTTCGCTAAACACTTGCTTACTAATTCTAACATGATTTTAAAAACAAAATAGATATATTACATGTACAACCAAAAAGCCATTTGGAGTAACAAAGTGGAACAAAACTTCTTTTACCTCTATCTTGAAATTTTAGTCTTTCTTGTTCTGGGAGAAGTCAATGCAGGAATCGTATATAAAATAGATTCCTATTTTCAATTAGAATATAAATATGAGCTTGAAGTAGTTCGTAGTATATTTACTGTTTCTCTTTATCACATCTTCTACCTCTTGTTGCCCTCTGTAAAACAAGGAATTTCTATCATTTTAATTAAAATAGCTTTCAAAGTTATTATGTATTACATCTATCCTATTAATTACGAAACCGTTAAAAACTTCTTAAGGAAGTTTTTGAGGTGCTGCAATAATAAAGAAAAATAAGCTGAATTTAAAGAAATGTAAAGAAGACTCTTCACAAAAAAACTAGGAATTTTACAATTTACTGACTTTTTAAGCTTAATTATTTTCTATGCTGTTACAGCAATCTTTAAAATTAATATGAATCTAGTTAACGACTACACTAACCTTACATCCACAGAATTCAAAGCTATTTCAATTCTTTGCATGATCGAATTTGTAACCGAAATCTTACTATCCTACCTAATAATCTACTTTCTTTCTAAAAACAATCGCTTCGAAGGCCTCACTATCAAAAAAATTTTAACAGAAATTACCCAATTCCTAAATGAAGGTAGCTTAATGACTTTCATAGCCTTCTTTGCTGTTTTCTCATCTATAAATATATGTGTAACTAACAATTATTTGAGACTCTCTGATTTTAAGCAAACATTTATTGATAAGCTTTGATTACAAAGCACCTCGCTTTTTCCTAAAAAACTTATTCCTTCCAATTCATACCCACAAACCAACCAACCAACCAAACAACCACTAATTAAAATAAAATATATAAATTTTATATTAATTTTGTCAAGATAATAACCTTTTCTTATTTATAACAAACCAAACTATTAATAAAAATTTCTTAATAATTAAGCAGATTATACTAAAGATTAACAATTAAATAAGTAAATAACTCAACAAACAAAATTAATTATTATCAGTCTAAACAAAAATTTTTATTAAAAGCAGATAACTTAATAATAAAATTTCAAAAAAAATTTTATCCTTTAATATATATTTATCTATCTATCTATCTAATTGATAACCATATGATTCCGTAAAAGTAGTCATATATTAACAAGCAAAGAGCTCTCTTATTAATAGGTTTGTTCTGATTAATTTATAATTCTTTTTAAAAAATTTAAATTGTACATTAATCGCTGGCCATATATTTTTATTGTTTTATTTAATGATAATCAAACAAATCAACAAAAAATAAGGAAAAAGTAAAAGAAATAAACTATTTAAATAAAAATTAAATTACATAAAATATTTCCATAATTCCAATTTTTGTAATAAAAAGAATGACTAAATGCAAAATTCTACCAACTTATTATTATATTTGATCTTGAAATTTAAATGTTTAGTTTTAAATTCAAGTAATTTATTAATCACTTTAATCAATTAGAATTTATTATGTATATATTTTTTCATTTTGGTATTATCTTATGAAAAACTTTTTTTAAAAGTATTTTCAAAACATTTTTATGATCATTTTATAATTCAATCAGTTTGTTTTTATATTCAACCAAAATTAGGTTTTGTTAAAATTAAATAATAATGTTTATTAGTATTCATATTTACATAAAAAACTCTGCTTATTTTATTATAATAGATTCAAAATATTTTATGATTTCATTTTAACAATCATCAAATATTATACCCAAATTTTAACTATTAAGATTAAATTTGAAATTGTGTATGTACCTGGGTATTATGGAAATATAAGGAACAAACATTTTAAAAATAATTATTTTTAGAAAAATATATTAAAAATTTTAATAAAATTTCTTAATTAATTTTGATTTATTAATTTAAGATGTTGATTTGATTTTTAAAATTATTCAAAAGACTTTTGGAAAAAAATTAATTATTTTATCATTTTTAATTTTTATTTGAAAATTCAATGTTTTTGTTTCATAAATTTCCCCTGTTTACTTTCTTTAATAGATAAAATCAAAATAATTTTAGATTTTAGAATTAAATTTATTTACTTTGACTTTTAAAATCTAAACTTAATATTTTGTAGTTAATTTTTTTTGAAATTTAAAGATGAAGAAGATGTTATTTATATTTTATTGATAATTTGCAGAGATAAGCTAAATTAAATTAAATAGAATATTCGAAAAAGTAAAAGATAAATATTTTATACATTAAAAATGAAGTAGTGATGAAATATGGAAAATTTATCATAAATTAAAATTTAAAAGTAGAAGAAGATAGAGAGAAAGATTAATAGATTCTTTTTTATTTTTATTTTTGTTTTGGTTGATAGCTTGATAAATAAATAGATGAAGAGAGAAAGATAAAAAGATTTTTGATTGATACAAAAGATATTTAAAAGAAATTTGAAAATGCCTAGAAGAATATAATGAAAATAGATAGAAATGCATCAAAAATAAAGCAATAATTGTTAATTATGCAGGACATACATACATATATCTATATAATTTATGAATTTGTATATGTATGTATTGATCTTAAATTTTGCAATAGGTTAATTTATTTCTTTAATAAATGGATGAGTTAGTAAATGAGTGATTTAAGGGTTTCATTCATTTTAATGAATATATCATGTTTTAATATAAAGTTAGAAAGGCAAAAAATAAAAAGATCTAAAGCGCTTTAACAATCAAATATTGATTGATTAGAAATATCTAAAAGAAAATAAAGAAAAAGATAGAAACAAGACAGAAGAAGTATTATATTATTTTAAATTGGAAATGTTAAGGTTGATCTCAAGCTTGAGCAGATAGCAACAGAATTTGATTGTTTTAAAAGGGAAAAAACTCGAGAAAGTAGCTGCTTTATTTACTTCTAAGTAAGATATTGAGGAAGAAGAAGATGAAGAAGTTAAGAAACCCGTTCGTCCTAAAAAATTCAAGAAAGATGATGAAGGAGAAGTTGATGAAGATTTAGAAAAATCTGAATTGAATGAAGAAGGGGAAGAACATGGAGATTCTAAAAGAAGAGCAAATAAAAAGACTTTCGTTAGAGAAACATATAGCAAGCAAATTCGTACATCTTAAGAAGGCTTTGAAGATTATAAGCCTATCCCATTCGGTGTCAATGTTGAAGACTCCGTCGAATATTATAATAAGTAACTAGAAAGTCTTGAGAAACACATGCCTCTCAATATATTTTCTTGTTTAAATTTGACTGAATAGCAAGAAAAAGCCATGAGATATTTATTGCAAGACGATGAATAAAGAGTATCTTGATTAATTTTGATAATTTAAATATGGATTAAAACAGTTATGTCAAAAAGAGGAGTTTATTTTTACTATTTTAAGTGATAATTATGAAATAAATAATTAATCATTCTTTTAATATAGAATATTAGAGGTAAGATGAGTTCTTATTTCAAGAAAATCCAAGAAAGCGGAATAAATGAAGAAATTGTCTAAAGTATTGAAGAGCTCGTTTAAGCTGCTAATTATAAGGAATAAACATTCTTCATTCATGAAAAAGACTTAAAGTAATATATTTCATCATCTCTTTGTTTACTTTGATTAAATCAACACACAGTTTTTAGATACAAAAATCAATACCTTTGATCTTTTTATTTTAAGATAGTTTGTTTGTTTGTCTGTCAAGCAAATATAATATGAAATTAATTTGTATTTATTTAATAGGACTTTAATTTTTACTAAGGAGCTCCTCAAGGTCATACCTTAATTCTACAACAAAAAATACTTCTAGGCTAACTAAAATGTTCTCATGCAATAAGATGTTGTTTAAATTTTCAAGAAGTGCAAATAGGATCCTGACTTCTACCCTCTTTTTGAGTTATTAAAATATCACAAGAACTTTTTCGTTAAAAACAGCAACTTTACCCAAAAATTCACTTCTGCAGATAAGGAAATAGTTTCTCAATTCATCTACGATATCCGTGCTGAATAAAACACAAAGCTTAACTATCTCCTAGTCTTTTTTGCTGCTCATAACCTCGTTCGTCTTAATATTTCTGTAATTGATTTTAAATTAAAAAAGTCATATTCTTTAAAATTGAAAAAGTTTAAATAGAGTTAGCATCTAAATTTTAAAATGATAGCATGCTTATGATTAAAATAGTATAAAAATTAAATTATTATGAGGATAAACAGAATTAAAGATAGTTTATTAAAAATGAATATTATTTGCTTGCTTAAAATAGAAGATATTAAATTATAAAAAACTTCATATTATTGAAAATTATGTTAAAGTAATAAAAATGTGTTCAAAATAGAATTCAGGATATTGTTTTTTTTAAATGAATATTTATTATTGATAAATGGTATTTGAATGGTTTTTTTGCTCAATAAATAAAAGAAATTTTATTTGAGATAAGAACTTTGATAGAGCATAAATAAACATTAACTTAATGTAACGAGAATTATATTATTTCTTTATTAAAAATAGAGTTTATTAGAAGCTGGCGAAATAAGCAAGCATTTCTCAAGAATTCACTTTGGTCATTTGAATGAGAAATCCAAATAAGACTTTTCAAGCAGACTTCACGAATTACTCAATTTGAAGATTAAATTAGGAATAAGCACTTCATTATAACACTATTTATGTGATAACTTCTTCAGCTTTGAGAATTACGATTTGGCCTTAACAAGTATTTCATATCATATTTTGATCCTCGCTCGTTTAGCTGAAAATCATACCAATATGAATGATCTTTTCTAATAATACATTTAAACATTCAGCTAACACAAATTCGACTACTATATTAAGGAAAATTTACCTCAAATTCTTTAAACATTGCAAAACAAAACTTACTATAACAACTTACAAGAAGCCTTAAAATTATTTAACAACAATAATAAATAAAACTCTCATTCTAATGCTTCACCTTATCAAAAGATTGACTTCTAACGTCTCACTTACTTTGATTCAGCTTTTGCTGTCAAGAATGGTGTTATTTGTTTCAATTATGATTTAGTTAACTAAACTGAAAATATTCCTTACCGTTACGAATCAGGTAATGTACTTAATGTCGAAAAGTAGAGCTTCTCTAACAGTAAATTAGTCTAATTCTAAGATACTTACTTAACAAACTAAAGAGAAGCTATTGTTGAAAATTTATTAAAGGAATCCATCTTCAACAATGATATTGCTATCGCCACCAAAAAGAAACAAAAGGAATTAGAAGAATTGAAAAAGACTAATCCTAATGCCTACTACAACTAAATGTTCTCTTTTATTTACAATACTCTTGATGAAGCCTATAAAAATGAAGAACCTTCTGTCAGAAATTATTTCAAAAGCAGAAATATCAACATACCATCTGCTTCCACCTTTAATGTTTCCAAATATAGTTTCTCCACTTCTTCAGAAAACAAAAAAATCGATGACCTCCAAGATGATACTGATTAATTAAACACCTAAGCTCAAGTTTAAACTGAAGTCAAGCAATCTAAAGCCTTTTCTGATTTTATGGCTAAAGTAAATTAAAATTTTAATATTCCTTTTAATCAATCATTTCATATAATAGGTTAGAGAAATCGACAGAGCTGCTGAAAAAAGCAACCCCTTCGTTACCAAGGAAGATATCATGAAAATGAAGAATTTGTAAAGTGACGAAAACCAAGCCCAAGCAAACCAAACAGTTAATCCAGCTTAAGAAGCTAAAAAAGAAGTTAAAGAAGTTCCCTCTGTTTTCACTAAAGGCCAAAACTAATAATTCTTTGCAGACTTCTTTGGCAATCTTACCAACCTTGATGAAGGTATTTTGAGATTAGAAAAAGAACTTTACGACCAAAGATCTAGTTTTGATTCCATGTAATTAATTATTAATAATAAATAAATTAATGAATTTTGACCTAAATATATATTTTTTTTTAAATATTAAAAAATAAATTCTTTTGTATTTAATTTTGTGATAAAAAACAATAATTTTGTGATAAAAAACAATAATTTTGTTTTATTAAATTTATTTATTAAAAATATTTTATAATTTTAATAGCATTAATGGTCTTACTGTCATGCCCAAGGATTTCGTTCATGAATATCCTGAAGGAAAGTATTTGCTTTATAAGGCATTCACTACTCCTTAGTTGTACAAGAAACACAGCAACCTTGAAAATTTGATCTCTAAGGAAGATTTCAGTGACAACAGAACCTTAATTAACTTAAAAACTCTTCGTTTAGGTGATCTATAACGTGATTACAAATAATATTTAGAAGAAACTGTATTTGGAAGAGCTCTTGAATATATCGGATACAACTCTCTCCTTGAAGTATGCAGTGTACACTACAAGAGAAGATTCTTCAAGAAGATTTTAACTCATATTGTAACTTATCGTGCTAAGTTAGACAAGTCAACTTTAGATTTAATAGTTAAGATCTGTAGAGAATAAAAGCTCGGATTAACTTTATTCGAATTCACTTATCTTTTAGTTAATGATCCTAACTCCAAAATCACTCAATAATAATTCGTTTAATTATTAAATAACCTCAAGACTTTCGAAGAAGTTCACGAAGACATTGAAACTTTAGTCAGAGTTTATTTGAACTCTAACATTAACAGAAAATTCGAAAACAAGATTATTGAAAGCTATATCAATTCTCTTATCCGTATCAAGAATATTAACAAGTTAATGTCTATGCTTGAAAGATTTAGAGATTTCTTCCTTGCCAGAAAAATTAATTATGACGAAAAACTCAGCTCAGAAGCAAACACATAACTTTCTGACAAATTCAAATAAGAATAAAGAGATATTATTTAATCACTCTTTAGATTGTACATGTAAAAACTCACTTCCACAGGATTGAATCACTATGCTCGTCCTCTTTTCAACGAACTTACTAATATGAAATATTCCCTAAACGAATAAGATTACATTCAAGGTAAATTTTGATATAGTTTATGACAAAATTAATTTTTATTTTAAATTAAACTAGGTTTTAAGAGTATGGATGACAACCCTGAAGATATTGTTTAACTATACGACTAACTCATTGATTAAAAAGTTGAATTTGGAGTTGAATTAATTAAATGCTTGCTTGAAATTTTCAAGAAACATCCTAAACCTCTTGCTTAATTAACAATTAGAATTCTCAATGAACAAATTTATAATGATAAAATTAACATCGATGTTCAAGAAGTTAACGATTTTGCTGCTCTTTTTGCTAGAAACGAAACTCCATCTGATTACTCTGACCTCCTTAAATATTTGCTTAAAAACCCTGCTAAAGTCAATGATTACACCAAATTAACTTCTTACAGGTAAGCATTAGCAATAAAAAATATTACTTGAAATCAATTTTGAAAAACTAACTCATTTTAAATAAAATAGAATTGTTAACAGCATCTCTGAAGAAATGTTAAAGTCTTTCATGAAGGGATAAGTAGAAACTTTGTTCTCCTCTTAAAAGTAATCGCTTTGTTTTTAATAAACCTTTCTTTATTTTTTAATTATAATTAAAGGCAAGAATAAATCAGACAATAGCTCTTATAAGATAAAATCAAAAAGAGAAACACTAAAAAACCCGTAGAAATGACCAATTAGCAATATCAAGTTAACCAAAAACCATAAAAGCAATAATAAGGTAAATAAACAGAATAAAAGCCCACAGAAACCGTAGCTGCTGCTGATGTTGCCACTCCTGAAGATGGTGCTAAGGGCAAAGGAAAGAAAGGAACTAAAACCAATGAAGTTAAAGAGCAACAATAGCAATAAGAACAATAGGAAGAAAAGGTTGAAACCTTAAATGAAGAAGATGTTGCAGAAAAAATCATTGAAAACTTGACTGATGTAAAAATTATCGAAAAAGATTCTAAGAGAAAAGTTTTAAAAAAGACTGGTGTCCATAAATTTAAAGATATTGATAGTTACATAAAGGAAACTAGAAGCTCTAGGGATAAAAAGTGAGAGACGATATGATTTTAATAAATAAATAATAATAATAGTTATTGAATTAATCTTTTTATCATTTATCCATATATCCATCCATCCATCCATCCACTTAACTAGATCAAGTCTTCTTAGCTTTAAACTGATTAAAATTAAATAAATTATTTAAACCTATTAATTTTAGAATCAATAGTCTATTTTTCTCAATACATAAATAATCTATGCTAGATTTATCTGTGTTTTAATATACTCATATGAATTACATTTCGTTAATTTATCAAAAAATATTTACCTTATCTACTTTCTAAGCTTTTTCAAAACCATTTTTTATTTTTAAAGTCAAAATTTATAAATTGTAAAAAATTTGTTTGTTAAATTTAATTTTATAATAATTAAAAAATCAACATAATTATGATATATATAAATAATTTTTTATTTATTAATGTTTTTGATATAATAATCTAGAATAAATAAGAAAATATTATGAAATGTTAATTTATTTTCATTCAAAAAATTAGATTATTATTTTTAATCTCTCCCTTTTAAAAATAAATATCTTTTTTATGTTTCTATTTGTTAAAAATACTTTTTATTGGAAAATATCTATCTATTAATACTGGATAAAATAAGAAAGAATATTTAATTGATAAAACTGGATTTTAAGTAAGTAAGTAAGTTTATAATGCACAAAATAAATATTTTGAATTACTTAAAAATGAACAAACACACACATTTAAGAAAGTTTGTTTTAATCTTAACCAATCCAATAAAAAATTTACAAAAATGCACGCTCAAACAAAATCTTAGATAATTTAAGTTTTTTAAACAGCTATTAATATTAGTTACTAATCAATCATAAATAATAAACAAATAAACAAACAAACAAAGAAGAAGATAACAAGATTTTTTAATTTATTAAAGATTTTTATTAACAAATTCAAAATAATTAAAATTCTCTTTGGCACATATGAGGAGTTTTTAATAAAACTATGCTCTTTTTTAAAAGTAGAATGCGTTTGCTTTAAAAATGAAAAAACTACTATTCAAATTTTACAAAAGATAATTCAAATTGCATACTTTAGAATCAAATTTTGAAATTTCTGAGCTCAATTTTTTTGTTACTATCTTTGGTTACTTATAGATACTATCTCTTGCTTTTACACAATATTCTCAAATTAATCAACAATAATTACTTTTATAGATAATTTTCTACATAAGCAGGCCCTCTTCTTACATAGCTGATTAGATGAATAACAATTTAAATATAATTTGCTTAGCCTTTGCTCTAGTTTGTATAATATTGATTCTATTTTTTGTAATAAAATTCAAATCTAATATAGTTGTTAGGAAGATTATAAACTATTATTTCACTTACTATAATCATTTCCTATTTTTGGTTCTTCTAGAAATCGGCTATTTGCAGTTAATGCCCTATTTTTAATCAATTTCAACTTAAAAATCTACATAAAATATTAGCAATTCGTAATCTAACAATATATTAAACTCTAATCCATCCCAAGCTGTTTTTGGAACTTTGCTTATACTTTTAGCCTAGATTGCTAGCTTCTACTAACTATAATTTTCAGATTGTTGTGTGAATATATTTGAAAAAGGTCTTTCTCGAATGATTTTTACAAAAGAGCACGCTATTTCATAAATTTTAAAACATATTATCATTTTTACATTGTACTTGGACTTCTAAAATTAGCATGGAGGAATGATTTTCGTGATTATATTTTGCTTAATATTCTTTATTTTAGTTGCTAAAGATTTTCAAATGAATATACCCTTTTCAGATCAAGTAAAAATATGTGCCAATGTTATTGGGTTGAATATGCTGATAATAGGAATTATTTTAGGTTAAATTTTATAGTGCTATTTTAAATTTATATCTTAAAAGTCTTTTTTAGTAATTTCAATTCTGATTTTACCAATTACCTGCTTGTGCTATTTAAAATATTACAATAATAAGTTTAATAAAATCGTAATGCATTCTACCTTAAATGAGGAGGAGTCTTAAAAAAAAATACAAATAAGATATTAAAATTTAATGAAAGTTCACTATTTCTCTCTTTAACTAGCTTTTTTTACTAGATATAAAAATAGTTTATTTTAAAGTAAATTCTATAAATTGTTGATTATTAGTTTCTACGAATAGCACTCTATCAAATGTGTATAGGTTTCATGCTTTTGCAAAAACGTAAATAAAATAATAGGTATCTAAGATGGAAGCTTTGAAATAAATGCATAGATTATAACTAGCATATTAAGTAATGCATGTTAAAATATTTTAACTCTTGAAAATTATATAACTTAGAACCAAGTCTCATGTTAATTCTTTATCTTAATTAAATTCATGATCCTTTAAAAAAAGAATTTATACAGTTTACAAAAAGTTATCAAAATTCTTAGTCAAAAGTAGTAAATGTAAATATCTCTAAATGTTAAAATCGTCAGAGGGTTTTGGTTTAAGGCAGGCTTAAATGTATTTTTAGACAGTATCAAGCAATCTATGGATGAACATTATCAGTATTTTTAAATTTAACAATTCATTCTTTATTAAAAATATTAATTTTTCAAAAACAATAAAAATCAGATTTTAAGTGAAAATAAAATATTTTCTCTCTAAAAAAAATAAAAGATAATTTAATCTTTAAAAAATAAATTGTTTAAAATACTTTAATTGATTTAATTTAATCCTTTTAATAAATACAATAAAATATCTACATTTTTTAATAATTAATTTAAATTTATTAAAAATATTGAAAAATTAAATATTTAATGGATAAAAAAGTTAATTTAATTTTCATTAATTTTTGAAGATAAGAATTAGATTCAAAAAGAGAAATTTATAATACCTTGTAAGCTTGCAACTTATTTTTTGAAGTGGAAAAAATAAAATAAGAAAATTCAGCTGCTGTGCTAGATGCAATATCCTTAAAAATAGAAGTACTTTTCATTATTTGTAAATTTTTATAAATTAAATAATGATTTTTGACAAATTGAATAGACCTTAAATACTATAAAAAATGGAGTAGATTCTATCTAAATATTTAAGAACATTAATGATAAATATCAATAATTCTTATAGGGATGTGAACATAAATTAACTTGCTTTTATGAGAAAATTCCTACAAGAGATAACCAATCTCTTCTTTGCTTTTTTTTAAGCGAAATCAAGAGCGACTTAAGAAAAGCTTCTGACATTATGCAAAGAAGGCAATTTAGTAAAACAATTGACATGAACTTACTTCTCGGATCAAACACTATAATGCAAATTTTTTCAAATTCAATTTATTCTCTGCAAATAGGTTATTCTAAAGGCTCCGGTGAAGTGTTATGGTTTTCTTAACAACTTCCTAAACTGCTTGGATATTCAAGACAAGAATTTTAATATCACAAGAATTTAAATTAAATTATACCGAGTATAGTTGCATTCTATCACGATGATTTAGTTAACGAAGTAAATATTTTACTTATAAATTTCTATATTTAATAATCCTTTCAGTATTTAAAAGCTGGTGAAAGTAATAAAATGCTTTAAGAATTAAAACAAGGTCACTTACGACATGATTTTGGGTGGATAATCCCAATTTAGATGTTTATAAGTATCAACTTCATAGACTTATCACAAATTGGTTTCTTTGTATTTTTCTAAAAAACAAAATCATCAGCTCAATTCGATGGCTAGATTATAGTTAACGAAAATAAGTAAATTTACACTTTATTTTTTTAAACTTAAAATGCATTTCAAAAATTTGAAGTCAGATATTTTATTTAGAATAAAAAAAATAAATGAATTATTTTAAAAGCATTAATTAAATTTTTTATTTTTTAGTAAAAATTTTAAAAACTTTGAAAATATTTTTGTTCATTCTATAATTTTTTAAAAAATTGCACAAAAATTTTAGAAACAATTTTACCTAAAAATAAATATTAATTTAATTAAGCAAATTTACTGAGAATTAAATTTAAAAATTATTTCTGAAATCCAAATAATAAAGGTGAAAAGCATTGAATAAACTCTTAATTTTATTTTGAAAGAAATTATTATAAAAATTTTTTAATTATTATTAGTGCTATCGAAAATGTGAATTTTGAGTTATTAGAAAAAATAGGACTTGAAAATTATCCAACAATTTAGACACTTTAAGGTTTTGATATGAATGAAGCGATGGAAGAATTTGAAAAAATATAAAATGAAATTAGCAATTTAGATCAAATCGATAATTTATACTATCAAAATATAAAAATAAATTTACCAACCTTTCATTACTTTAAATCTTAAGCAGAAATAAATGAAAAGCTATAGCAACAGAGTAATTAATCTCTTAGATCATTCAGATCAAAAAGATCCTCAATCAAAAGTGTAATATTAATATTTTATTTGTAATAATTAAAATATTAAATATTTTTTTTAAAATAGTAACCAAGCATAATGTTTAAAAGCTTTTTGATAGATTTTAAAATCATTAAAAAGCAGAAATCTTTGCAATACAAAGACATCAAGTATTACATTCTTTTGATAGACAAAATGATTGATTTGAAAAACTAAAATGGTTCTCAAAGTATGGCAGAAACTGAAAGAGATTTAGATGCAAAGACTTATGCTAATGCTACTTTAAGTGCTAATTTTGCTAATTAAAAAATCTATAAAGAAGATAAATTATTAAATACTCCACAATCCTCTGAGCGTGACTTTTTCAAGAAACTCAATTCTAAAGATTATTAGAATAATGATAGCTTTAATGTCAATAAAAACTAAATCAAATCGATATTTTCTTAAAAAAATAAAAAAAAGAGTATAATTAAACGGTTGACAATTAAATAGCCTTCGATTGAATTAGACAGAGTTAAACACGATTAAAAAAATATGAACAACGAAAAAAAAATTATGGTATTTATTTCATCTAAAATTGTTTAAATTTAAATGAATTTTAATTATTCTGTTATTTCTTAGCATTTTATTTAAACTTACAAAATTAATTTTGTTTGGTTAAACAATAAAATTGAATGAGCCATTCATTCATTCATTCATTCATTCATTCATTCATTTGTTTATTAATTTATTAATTTTTTATTTATTAAAATAGAATGAGAATAAGTAAGTATCAGAAAATAATACAACAGTTTTACAGTTCAAAGAAGAATATGAAAATTTCGAAAATGGTGGTTCTATGATAGAAATAGAAAGTTCTATTTTTAAGTAGCTGAAGGAGTTAGATTAAAATAAATTTGGAAAAGCAAATCACAGCCATAAATTTCAATAGAGCATTTTAGATGATTTGAGCTTGTCTTTTTTAAACTAAAACAAGTCCTAAATTTCTGATGATATAGAATCATTTAGACCTTCAGATGGTAATCAATCAAAATATGATAACTCAAATAAAATATATAGCTAAAATGCGATAGACGGTTCACAGTTTTCTATAATCAATAAACTTGAATCAGAAAGAAATGTTTTGACTAAAAATTAGGTTGCATCTGATTAATCTATTTAAATAAGCCAATAATTATTAGAAAGTTATCATAACAAAGCTAAATTTTCTCCTAAAAAGAAAAATTTTGAGCTAAAAAAGTTATAAACAACAAACGATCAAGCTTATTCTAAATCTCATTCGATAATCAAAGTAAATTTGTGTTATTAATTAATGTATATTATTAACAGGGTTGAAAATCCTTTTTTAATTTAATTATAAACACCAAAAAAATTTTTAGAATATAAAAAATCTATTGAAACAAAATGAAAATATTTTATTTTAGTAAAATCTCTATTTTGAAAAATTAATTAGCTTCTTAATTAATTTTTTAAGATTTTTATGATTAAACACAACTTTTTTTGAACATTAGATATAATTTATGTACATGTTAATTTATTTATATTATTTAAAGGGATCTGATTAAGTTCCTGCTCTTAAATTGGATGACCAACTCCCAAGTGTAAGACTGGAAAAATCTTGGAGTTTAAATTAATATGGAGAAAATGAGTCTTAAAATAATTAAATAAAAGTTGAAGATAATATTGAATGCTAATTAATAATAGCAAACGAAAGCAATGAAGAAATAGAGCATCACGAATAGTAGGCATCATTTCCTGTGTAAGAATCCACATCAGTTATTATAAAAGAGGAATCAGAATCATAATACCACAGTAAATCACAAATTACCCACAAAAGCTTAAAAAGCTAAAAGAGTCTCAAAAGTCAAAAGACTTTCAGAAGTAGAAAAACGGAATCTAACAAGTAGAAATACTCATCAAGCAATAAAAATTAAAATATTGATCTTAGCTAGACTAAAAGAAAGGCTAATAAAACATCAACTTTTGTTAGTAGTTACTAACAAAAATAACGCACAATAGATACAATCAGTAACAACCAAAGTAAATAAATCAAACCTATGGATAACGACAATTTATTTAATCAAGAAAATTAAGCTATATTACCTGAAATTAAACTAGAATAGCCAGATCCAAATGTATCATTTTATTTATTTACTATTACTCATTAATAATTTTGAATTATCGTTTAAAAAAAATAAAGAAACTCAATTTAAGTTTTAAAATTTTAAATATTTTTATTTTAATAGGAAAGAATAAAAAATGATTAATAAAGTGTGACATCTTCATTATAAAAGAGTATATTTTAAAGTAAATATGACAATTTTACTAAGTTTTTAAATAAAAACAATCCTCCTGATTTAAAAAAGCTAAAAATACTCAAGTTGCTTGAGTTTTTAATCGTGCTTTCTATCACGCTTTGGGCTAATTTACTTTTTTATTTTAGTTTCACTAATTTTTAAGATTAAATTTCTTTGATGAGCTTCAGAAGTTCAACTCTGTCTCCTATTTCTATTTCGTTATCTATGGTTTACTAGCTCCTCTAAAATTAAAATTAATTATAAAATGGTAAAATTTCTCAAAGCGAATATAATTCAGCTGCTAATTTAATATACAACTATATTAATGATAGCTACACTACCTTTAATTAATAATTAGAGTAAAATTTGGAATAGCAGTATTCTAGAGAAACCTACACATCTAATAATATAACATTAATAAATTATTCAAATAACTACACAACATAAATGCCTCTCATACTATCTTCTCTTTTATTTAAATAGATGTTGTTTTCATTTAGCCTAACTGCAGAAAGTCTTCAGTAAGGTTAAATAGCTAAATTTAATAGTGCTAGTTTAAAATTTTCTTTAGATAACTATTCTTCGCTTTATTAGTTTTTTAGCTCATTATCGAAAGATTTAAAGTAATAAATTACAGATAATATGAATAGTATTTAGCTTTTATTCATAATATAATTGATATGCATATTTTTAAGCTACATTATCATGCAACTCTTTGAATTTTATTTTTATCGCTAGTTTATGAACTTTATTAAACTTATTTTGAGAATGTACGAGTCAACTACACTGATCCAAATACAATCAGAAATATTAAGACTCACAAGAATATAGCAAATGACAGATGGAGATCAGAGCAATCTTATCTTTTGCTATGATTTTGATTTGAGAGCTAAAGAAATCGCATTAAGAGCTGATTCAAAAAAGATCCTATTGAAATAAGAAGAATAATTGAATTCATTAAATAGAAACACAAAAAAGTAACCTCGAAAAGATAAAAATGGAAAAGAAATTAATAAAAGAACTCAAAGAAATTTTAGAATAGAAAGCAATTTTATTAGCTACAAATCCTTCTTCGTTATTTTAATTATCAATTCCATTCCATTTTTTGCTTACATAGCTGTTTCATTAGGACTGATTGAATCTTATACCCATAATTTTTCATATGCATTAACATCTTTCAATAGATTTAACGATGCTTAATCTTACATTTAAACAAGTTACATCTTGAAGCAACAAATTTAAAATTACCTCCCATCTTCAGAATAAAATAGCTAGAGTTCAAATTAAATTGTGCAATAATTTGTAAACTCTATTGATGAAGCTAATTATTTTTCATCTTCCTCAATTGATTAGTATATTGCTGATTTACAGCTTATAGATACATCTTTGGACAATGATATAAACGAACTTGTTTCTATGAATGCATGCTAACAAAATAGCACGTTTTCTTCTAATCTTCCAACAAATCTCTTCACTAATTTGATTGCAAGATGTGAAACCTCTTTAAATGGAATGTTGTAGCTTGGAGTAAAAGCTTTTCTCTCTAATTTTATTTAAAGCATGAGTATCCTTATCAAACTTAACTTTTAGAATTCTGCCTAGCTTGATTATTATAGTGACGAAGCAATAATCTCAGTAATACCTACAAAAATAATCTAACAATGTTCAAATAATATTCATGATAAGCTGATATCAGTTACAAAGCTAAACAAATTAATAATATTCTCATTTGGTTTTATTTTCTTATTTACCATGCTGATGACTCTGTGTTATTACATAATTTATTAAAATTAAAAAATGATAACAGAATACAAGCAGGCATAGCATATCATTTTCTTATTACCAACCATAACTCTCTTAAACGATGAAACCTTCTTTAAGCAGATGAGCTATTTAAATATGAAACTTTCTTGAGATATTTTTATAAAAAATAAAAAATAAAACAACAAAAAAATAAGTAAGTAAGTTTCTCTCAACAAATTATAAATTACTTATGTTTATTTAAATATTCAAATAAAATTTCTTTAATAATTTACTTAAAATTATTTAATATAGCAAATTAAAAATAAATAAAAAAATGTAGGATATGGTTTAAAATTTTAAATTTCTTACAATTAAAATATGTTATTAAATTATTAATAAAAATGTAAATAGATATTTCTTGTTTAATATTCTTGTAGTAACAATTAATTAAATTAACTAACAAGTAAATAAGTAAGTATCAATCAATAATTTTTTTAAAAATATTACCAATAGGAACAAAAATATAAAATGAATACAAACAAAATTTAATTTATTTAATAATTTTATAAAATATTTCTTTGTTCTCAGCATTAAAGTTCGAAATTGTTAATTTTTTTATGTTTAATATAGGTTTTAAGTTTTTCAATCAGACTCTTTTGGATAGGATTACTGTTTTTAAAATAATAGTTTGAATCGTTATAAGAAAGAATAAAATTTACAGCCTTAAATCAATAGTGAAAGTGGTATATGCTTAGCACTTAGCAAAGCTATTTAAGTAGTTTTTCATACCATCATCATAAATTTAGTTGCTTAAATATTTTTATAATTTTATTTATTTATTTTTTTAATTAAAAAGGTGTAAATTTACTCATATAAACCTAGCCATAATTTATCTAAACTTCTTATGTTCAGCAAATGAACACCAAGATCAGCCATACCTCCAGATCCTATTTAATTGCTTAAAAATTTTTTTAATATATGTAAAAGTTTAATTTAATATACCAAGCTAGCTCTACTCTAAGTTCTCTTAAACAGGCACAATTATTAGCAATAGGTTCAATTATAACGTTCATACCTTTTTATTTCACTTTATTACTGCAAAAAAATTTAGAAATTGAAAAGTTGCTAATTTAAATTTACTTATAAAGATTCAAATTTAAATATACTAAATTCTTCAATTCAAACATTCCCTATCCTAATAATTCAGCTCCTTTTTATGTTATAGAATTCCTTTTCAAATAAAATAGAAAAATTTTTAATTTATAAACAAACTAATTTTTATTTCATAAATAGCAACATACTTTTTATTAAACTTAGTAAATCTAACTTTATTTATTTATGTTAAAATAATACAAAATAGCTTTTTAAAGTATTTATGTATTTTAATAATTCATTCATTCATTTATTTAATTATTTTTTTTTATTATTTAATAAACAAAATATTCCACAAAAATGATTTCAAGAAAAATTATCAAAATTTATTTGAATTATGTTTTAGATTGATCAAATAAATGATATTAATATGAATATAATTCTACAAAAGAAGAATTACGTAGAAAGGTTAAGGATGAGAGATCTACAACCATGATACATTCCTAAAATACGACCAAAGTGAGGTAAACCGTTATCACCTATTCCTTAACTATCAAGCTCAACGGATAGTCTTTATACTTATCTAACATCTTTAGGATAAGTTATGAATTCTTAAAGTTTGTTGAACTAATTAATATCAAAGAAAAAATATTTGCATTATTTTAGGAAGGCTTTTCAAGAAAATTAAAAACTATTTAAATAAAATATTAACTTTTAATTCATTAATGACAAATCCTCTTTCACTAGTTGAAACTATTTTAACATCTCTATTGATGTTTGGTGCTGATTATATTCTATCTTGTTAGCTTCTTGGTCCCTTTTATCATATTTAAAATAAAAATTCATATGATTTATTTATTTCAATGTATTTTTAGATCACTATACATGTAATGGGTATAAAATTTTATTAGCATCCAAGGGTCTTTTTGGTTCTATTTTAGCTGCATCTTCCCTAATGGTTTTAATCACTTAAGTGAGAGGCTCTTTAATGACAAGTGCGAATTCTTGAAATCTAACTTTGGCAATATTTCTAATTTATTCTCTAACACATGTTTTTTCAGTTTTTGTGATATCTTCTAATTCCTTAATGGCAGCTTTTCTAAATTCAAACATGAACTTTTTCATGACATCTTCTGCTATGTCTAAAACATCATCTAAGCTAGTTTAAATTCTAGGTGGTTATAATCCTAACATTTTCAAAGCAATTATCTTGATTTATATTTAATTATCTTTGTTCGATCAGTAATAAATTTTGCAATAGCAATAAGATTTATTTATTTCAAATTATTTGATTTAATTTTTAAATAAAAGTGATGATATGATATTCGTTTTATTTATGGATTCAAATCAAATCTCCAAAAAATAATTATTTATGATAATTAAATAAATGGTTGCTGAATAACTTGTTATTTATTTATTATTCACTTAATTCAATTTTTTTATGTCTTACATAACACAATAAGATTTCTTATAATAAATATGAAATAAAATAATTCTATCATCTTACATGTATATGTATAGTTAAATTTTAGTAAAGGGCACTTAATTTTAATTAATTAAACCAATATTAAAAACAAAATAACATTGAATATTGATTGATTGATATTAAAATTTTTATTTAATTTGAATAAATTATTTTTTATTATTATTTAATTATTAAGAATGTTCAAAATTGAATAGAATTTGTGAGATAATTTAGATATTTGCTTATTAAACATTTATTTTTTATGGTATTTAAATTTGCCATCAATGTGTTATGCTTTATATGTTGATTTTGAGTTTTTTTCATGTGACTTAAATACTTATGTTATTTATTAATGTGTCATTGGGCTCACTATTTTATTTTAATCTGTCTTGTATTTTCTTTGCCATATTTTCAAGATTAGTAAATAATATCATGCAGATTTAAAGAATCAAATAAAGACTCATACCTATTAAAATATTTAAAAAAATTTATTTTAGAAAGAAAAATAAATAATTATTATTGTAGTTTTTTAGATAAAAAAAGTTTAAAGTTTTACCTATTGCAAGTCCTGTCCATACTCCTGTGATTTCGTATGATGTTTTGTAAGCAAGGTAGTAACTTGATGTTAATCCTACAAGGGCGTAGCAAATAAGGAATGAAACACTGCTAAACTTTTCTTTTGCTATAGCTCTCATAAATGCTGTGATTAGGCATTAAATTGCATCTAAGAAGTATACACCTAGAGCAAAGAATATAATTCTCAAGAATTAGTCCTTCACTTCAGGGTTAACTGTAAAGGTGGATGCTATACTTTCTCTAAATATAGCTATAGGAAGTCCTGTTATTAATAAGTGGCTTATGAGAATATAGGTGCTATACAAAGCATATTTTTTAGCATTTTTAACATTCCCTCTTCCCATTTCGTTACCTATAAAAGTGCATGCTGCCGTTGCGTAACCTAAAGGAAATTGGACACTGGTAGAAGCTAAATTTGCTATTGCAATATTTGCAGAGTATTATTCTTCAGGCAGATTGGATGCAATTATTGAGTTAACTTCTTGCAAAATCCATTCTAAAGACACAAGTGATCCGATTGGTATAGCTGTTTTGAGGAATGGCTTCAAATCTTAGAAGCAAAGTTTAGTGAAGGGAATGAAACATTTTTTAAGGTGTTTTTTTCTGCTTGCGAATAAATAGCATAGAACTAAGTTAGAGAATTATGATAGAGAAAAAACAACAGCAGCTCCCATGATTCCGCAATCAAGACCAGTAATAAAAATAAAGCAGTAGATAACAGTGAGCATAGTGTTAATTCCGCTGCTATATACTTGCAACCTGTATTCGTTCTGTGCATTCAAAGTTGCTGTTTTTTAAATATTGTTAAAAAATTTTTAATAGATAATTATACCAAAAAAATGATTTCAATTTAATATAAATAAAAATTAGTTGAATGATTTTGGCTTTCAGTAGATATTTTTTTTTATGGTGAATAGAATTTTTTAGTGATAGAAAAAAATTAATTTTCTTAGACTTTAAATATTTTATTTACCTTTATAGGCATAATAAACAGCAACAAAAGCAATTCCTGGGATAGCAAACATACACAACTAACCAGCTATTTAGCACAGATCAGCATTATCATTCCATAACAGTAGAATTTACTCTGCGTATAACATCATAATGCATATAGGAATAAACATAATAGATGATACAAAAAGCGTCTTCTAAAAAAGAATACCTACTTATTCATAATTTTTAGCTCCATGGGCGTGAGAGGCCATGGTCTCTAAGCCGCTACCTAAGCCATAATATAAGCCTTACCCCATGCAATTCAACCATACTAAGCCCAAGCCATACCCATTTGCAATGTGTTGTGAGTAATTTCTAGTCATAAAAAAATAAATGATAGTTAATGGAGCCCATTCTAAAAAATAAGACAGAGCCTCTTCAATACACGATTTTAGTAACCAAACGAAATCTACTTTGTCTGTCATATGGTGTTGATGATCACTTTCATCATCACTAAAATCACTTAAAATACTTTTTTTTATATCCTTTTAAATGTCAAACGCTAAATAATCAGATCCTCTTAATGAAAGTGCAGGAGCTGTAGAGTTATCATCAGATTATGAATCCGATGACTTATGCTATGAATAATCTCTAGATGTTTTTTTAAGCATTTCTAGATATTTATTTATTATTTACTCTTTATATTTGTTTGCTTTTTGAATTTAGTTGATTTGGTTTGTTGTAAAGCTAAGTAAGTATGCTCTATTTGTAATTAACAATATTTTATACTTTATTAATATTTTAGTTTTTAAGAAATAATGCAAAAATGTATATTTTGTAATAAAATAAATTATAAATAGAACTATTCTTTCACAAGACATACAATTAATTAATTACCTTATATTTTAATTAGCTATCAAAAACAGATATTTATTTGTATATATTATGCAATTATTTCCACTGTGATAGATAGAACTAATTTTATTATTTCAAAATTATTCTTGAGCCTTATAGCTCAATAAATTAATCAATTTATTAATTTATCAATCGGATCGGATCGTCTAGCTTTCTTATTTTATTTTTTATAAAATTCTGGCTCAAAAATTTCTAATGACAATCAATTAAAGCTTTTCTATTATTTTTTTTGATCTTATCAAGTCTATTGTAAATACATTTAAAATTTTCTTATCAGTTACTATTCTCTTTATTTTAAATTTTGAAAATGTTGAGAATTACTTAATTAGACTTCATTTATTTTATTACTACGTACTTTATTTTTATCTTTATTATTTTCATCAATAATTGCTTCATGAATTTTTCTTTTGTTCATCCAAATTTTTTTATAATTTATTTATTTATTTATACCAAATCTAAAAATAAGTTTGCATAAATTCTATTATTTTCTACCTTTAAAATTAAAATCATTCTCTTAAATTTATACTTAAACCTATAATAATGAAAATTTAAGTAATAATTTTAATATATAACAAATAATAATTATGATTACTTTGATTATTGAAAATTAAAATAATTTTTTGCTATTCGATACTGGCTGAATGTAATTTATTTTAATTAATAAATTAATAAAAATAATTGTTTCTATTAAGTTAAAAATGTAAATAATTTTATAAATAATAAAATAGATAAAAGAAGATTTATTTCATAATAAACCTCAAGTAAATAATTAATATTAATAATTTAATATTCATTATTAAATAATTTCATATGAACATTCATTAGAATATTTTTATTTTAGAATTAATAATATTTAAATTTATTATTTGATTCTTTTAAAAAACACGTAATTAAAAAAAAATCTAGTCAACAAGAATATAGGACGGACATATATGATATATATTTTGAAATATTTAAGAAAAAAGAATTTTAAAAAATTTTATTATTTACTTTTTTTAGAATTAAAAATATCATTAAAAAAAACTGATAATATTACTCAAATTTATGTAAGAAAAGCTTTATTTTATTTTGTAATACTTTGAGGGATACACATACATACTTAAATCTAAATTTATGATTATATTTAATGAATAACCAAACAAGTTTGAAATATATCAAATAATTAATTTAGAAGAAACATTAAAAATATAAACATCATCATAGTGATGATAAATTATATCTATTTTAGCATCATTTTAATGTAAATTATAAAGATACATAAGAATGAAAGATGTGGATTGGTTATTATTAGAAATGTATATACAAGTCTATTTATTTGTTTTATATTTAGAATATCATGTCATTGATTCGTTGAATTACATTTTACTTAATCGTGCTTTAAGAAATTGAATTAATTAGTTAATAAATAAATAAACAAATAAAATTATTGAATAATTTTAATCAAGCAATTAAGCAAGTAAATTAGCAACAAATATCAACACTTCTTTATAGCAATCAGAATAAATAGCAAGCAAATAATTAATTATCAATATGGGAAACAAAAGGAAAAATAGAAATTCCATTTAAAGCAACACAGATTTATCTAAGGTTGAAGAGCCAGAAGAAAATGTTCCTGTAAAGAACATTAAAAAGTCTAGCTCTTACTCTGGGTCAAGAAATTCAAATCCAGTAATTATTTGAATTAATATATTCACAATTCATTTCATTTTTTAGTCAATATTAAACATAATTCACAACTTCGTTTGCTTACAAATGCTAAGTGTAATTTTTAATGTTCTGATCATCAAAATTTAAACATAGCTAGGATTTACAAGATTTATTTCTCTTAAATAAATAAATTATTTAAAATTATTTAGTTTAGCATTGTTCCTGATAATTTTTCTGATAAGAATGACTCTGATAATAGCTCTGACAAAGATCAATTTGAAGAACTTGAAAGCATTTCTTAGTTCAATGGAGGAGTTAGCCAAAGAAAATCAAGTTATGGAAAGCAATCCTCAGTGAGTGCTGTAAGCTATTCTACAGATTTTAATAATAATTCTGAGATTTAGAGTGAATTTTCCAAAAATGATTAATCGGAAGCAGGACAAAATAAAAAGCTTAAAAAAAAGGGAAGTAAAAAGAAAGAAAAAACTCTTCAAATGTATGATGAAAGATACGAACCTACTAAACTACCTTCAAGAGATGATGTCAATGAAATTATGGTTCATTTAAAAATGGCAAGCTAGAAGTCTTGGCAAGTATTTTTGGGATTTATACAATGGATTGCTGTAAAGCTTTTAGCATTAGTTGTACTTATCATATAAGTTGTCCTTTTGATAGTCGGCTTTATCTGGAAAGTAATAACTACAGTGTTTTATCATACCATGAGAATTATATTCAGTGTATTTCCTATCCTAAATAGCATACTTTTAAAAAAACATGATAAAAAAGACCCATTTAAGAGATCCTAAAACAATATAAATATGAAAAGAATCATCAATCAAGAGAGAGAAGATTAACTCAACTCTTTGCAATCTAATCCTTCAATGAAGAAAAGATTCACATTAGCTCTTGATCTAGATGAAACTCTTGTATATACTTAACCATATAAGTAAAAACTTAAAGAAAAAGTAAACGAATAGGACAATCCCGATATCGTGCAAGTCATTCATCCATCTTAGCAGTCAGTCTAATTTTTTACTCTTAAAAAAAGACCTGGTTTAGATATATTTTTGCTTGAAATGAGTAAAATATTTAATTTAGTAATTTACTCTTCTGCTTAAAAGTAGTATGTTGATGCTATTGTAGATAAAATTGATACTAATAAATTGATAGTTAAGCGTCTGTATAGAGATTAATGCTTTAAATACCCAGGGCTTTATATCAAAGATATTTAACAAGTAGGTAGTATTGAAAGCTCAATTATTTTAGATAACTCCTAAGAAGCCGTATAATTAGATTTTAACAACTCCCTCATTATTCCTTCCTTTAGAGGTGATGAAAGTGATCAACACCTCTACACTTATTCTAAAATTTTATAGTATGCCGCTGAATGCAGTAAATAAAAAAATACAAACATCTCTGATTAGCTTTAGCTCATTAAATAAGATTTATGAATTAAACAAAAATCATCCTTCCATTTTAATTTCATCATTATTGAAACTTTATCTTGTATTTAAAAAAACAATACAAAATTTATTCTATTTTTATGCTAAATAACAAATTTAAAATAAAACTAAACAATTCAATTAATCAATCAATCAATTTCTGTAAACTAATAAAAACAATTTATATAAAATATTTAATTTTTACTAATATCTATGTCTAACTAATTCAGTTAAAAAATTTTTTGATATAAAATTCATACGGAGATAATTTAATAAAATTAATCAAATAAAACAAATACCCTATACTTCTTTAAAAAAATTATAAATATACTGTTTGATTATAATTTTTAATCAACATTCAACTCTTTTTTTTGGAAAATTTAAGCTAAAATTTAATTTTATAATATCAAGAAAAATAAAAGATTTTTACAACTTAATTTCTTTTTAGAATATACGGCACATATTTGATATTTTTATTAATTCAATAAATTAATAATTCAATATTTCTTTTTTATTTTTTCTTATTATATTTAGCATAAATAGATTAGCATAAATGCTTTATCTATCAATAATAAAATTTACTCATTTATTGAATTTTTCAGTAATTCTTTTGACCATTTAATCTAGATCAAGTTCCTTTGAATTATCTTGATTGAATGCTTATGCAATCATTTAAGTGACTGAGTGCTAGTGAGTGTGATTAACTTAAATTTCCTATTTAGTTTACTAGCTTTTTAGAATTTTTGTTGGGTTTTCAGAACCAAATAATAGCAAATTCTATTACTTTTACTCTTCTAATAGCTTAAGATAATTTTATATTTTTTCATTTTTACTATTCATAAATAATAAGGCTTATTCTTATTCATTTTTATTTTCATCATGCTGTGATATGGTAGAATTTAAGTCGTCCTTCATATCTTATTTATTTGGGAATTCATCTATTAAATCTTATTAGTTTTCAATAGCTAACTTTGAAAGCCTTTAACTCTTTCTGCTAGAATTTATAGTTGAGTTACGTTTTTAAGAATCGATTTCTTAATCAGTTTTTGTTTTGGATTCAGGATTAACCTAAGGTTCACTTTATTCTTTTTTTAATTTCAGAAGACCTCTTTTTCCTTGTAAAATTTACTGATCAAGTTGGCCTTTTTTAATTTCTTTTTATTATTTTAAGGACTTAATGCTGTCTCTTGTTTATTATGTGTTATTTAAAATTTCAGCTTTTTTGGTATTTTCTTTAATTGTTGTTTTGCTTTTTTTATCCTTTTTATCTTCTTCAACTTAATCAATTTATTCTATGCCTTTTAGAGCTTGATATACTTCCAATATTTTATCTTCCTGTTCTTTTGTTAAGTTTGGTTTATTTTTTACTAACTGCAAATAGTGTCTGCTATCATAAAATCTGCTATTTGTTTTGTTTTTTGATAAGTTTTCCCAAATTTAATTATAATTTATCTTAACTCTTTGTTCTTAATCTTTTTTTTCTTAATTTTAAATCAACTTTTTTTAATAATTCATTGCTATTGTTTTAGCATCAATAGATTCTTCATCAGCATCTAAGTCTTCTTCTTTTTAATTAGCAGCAACTTTTGGTTGAAAGTGATGCTAAGGATCAAACTTACTCAAATCAACCTCAAATCTCATAATTTTAAACTTTTAATTTTAAATTTAAATAATTTTTGTTTTTTTCTCAAGTTCATTTATACTTTATTCAACTTTTTTCATGTCTTCCAAATATTTTTCATAATAAGCTTTAATATCCAACTCTAACTTCCACTACGGTTTACTTTTCTAAGACGCATACGGTTCTTTTTTAACCAACTTCCAAAAATAAAAAGCATTAAATTCACATTCAGGATACTGCAAATAAACATTTCTATCATCAAGTAAATTATGAGCTTCATTTTTAGGGTCTTTTGTATTCTCTGAATCTATGTCATTCTCTTATTCTTCTTGAATAGATCTAGAGCTATCTGCTTCTTCTATTACTTAATCAAATTATCTAGATTTCCTATCATTGTTTGTTAAAAATATATTCTTATTTTGATCATCCAATTACATTTCGGCATCATTTTATTCGTCTTTATTTTCATATGATCCTTGCATTTAAAATATATTATTTGGTCCTCCGCTAGTACTTTGCATACCCTTGCTACTTGAAAGAATACTTTTATCATCTCTTGGACTTTATAACTCTGAGTCATAATAACTTTAATTAAAAGAAGAATTAAGCTAGCTCATGTTACTTTATAACTCTAGTTTTTATTATTATTTCATTTTCTTTTTCATTTAAGTTAAGTAATCCAATTTTTTTTGTCTTTCAATCTATTCATCTTCTTCTTTTGTTCTATCTATTCTTATCTTTAAGCTGTGATCGTATAGTTCTATTGTATTTTTTTTTCTATATCCGATAGGGATTTGAATTAAGCTGTCCTCGTTTTATCTTAACGAATCAATATATTATCCTTTTACTGAGTCAAAGATCATAACCTATTTAATTAATTAATAATGATATTATTATAAATAACAATTTCTCATAAATTCTCCTCAACATTTAATCAAATGTTCATAAAAAAGATTTTGATTGAAATAATAAGTTTATTTATTTATTTTCTTCAATTAATTTTAAGTTTTAAAAAAACAATTTTAAAATTAGTAATTTTTATAAAGAAAAAAGCAATTAAATTTATTTTTTAAACCCAAGCAAAAATCTGAAAAAAATCTAATTTTAAATAAAAATAGGATTGAATTGCTTAAAATTTTTTCGCTATTGAATTAAAAAAATCTGAAAAAATCTAATTTTAAATTTGTAAATGGATTGAATTGCTTAAAATTTTTTCATTATTTAATTGAAAATATTTCCTTACATTTTTATCACTAATGCAAGCAAACAATAGTTTGTATACATCGTTGTATTCTAGGAATGTAATTTATTCTGAAGTAGCCTTGGTATTCCAAATTGCTGTAGGCTCTGTCTGCACATTAAATTAGAAATATTCTCTCATGCTCTTATAGAAGGTATGCTTATCTTCCTTCAATTTAGAATTTAGCTTGAGCTGCTCTATATTTTCACTTAAATTTGAAATTATTTTGGATATATCATAGCATTTTAAATAGCCCTTGAAATCTGCTACAAACAATTATTAGTTTTCTTTGCAATACTTTATCTTAGAAACTCCCACATCTTCCAGTTCAGAGTCTTTGTTAAACAACTCTTAGTCTATATTTTAAAAGCTTTCCACAACTTAGAATTTGTAAAACAAAGGAGGTCCAGAAATAAATTGAATCTTGTTTTTTAAATAAAAAATTAATTTTTAACAAATTTTTTGTTATATTTTGTTTACTTAACCATTTTAGCATGAAGATACTACAAATGGCATATCTGGGAGAGACATAATATCTGTGACTTGATGATTAGATAGCTTATCTGAATACTATCCTAGAAATTTTCCAGAGTTCATGTCAAAGAATCCTACTTAACCAGTATAAAACCCTAAGACTATTGAATTATACTCAATGTAAATATCGATACAAGTGATATAATGATCTAAGAGCTTGATAGACCTCAAAAGAGAGTCTTTGTCATCATCGTAATGGTTGCTCACAATATTTATGATATTATCACTTGAAACTGTAACTACTACTCCAAGCTCTAAGCAATCTTTTATAAAAATTACTGGGGCAGAGTGTTTGGGATGTGACTTAATTTTGGCTCCGTTTTCACAATTAAAAGAATTTACATATCCCTTCTTATCACCAATAATCATTCTTTTTTCGAAGCTATCAAGACAAAATGCAGTTATTTCGGAATATTCTTAACTCATATCTAAAAATATTTTATCTACTTCTCCTGTTAGCCCACACCAAACTTTCAGTCTCGGTCCTATAAATAAAAAAAAATATTTCAGTTAATCAATTAAATTAAGCATTTTTAAAAAATAAGCTTTATCAGATAGTTCAATGTCGAAACCATATAAAAGATATCAAAATTACTTCATATTTAGTAAAAGTAACAAAAATATTTTTTATAGTTATTAATTTGAAATATTTCTTAATACCTGCTGGTGTGTAAAATTTAATTTATCTAGTATTCATTATGCAACATAAAGGTTTTAGATCATCACATACATTAGGATTAAATCCATAATCATAATTATAAGCTGCAATGGATTACCCACAAAAAATTAGTTTCAAAGATGTAGATTTTATACAAGTAAAATATACAGGATTAAAATTGAATCCATGCTCATCTTGCTAAATAGAAAAATTTTATCTTTCTTTAAATTTTTGAATGTCTCTAACTTTAACATTCCCTTTAATATCTAAAGAAATCAGTTGATTTGAACCTTCTATAACTATAATATGTTGAAGAGAATTTCTAAAATCAGATATTTTATAAACCATATGCTCGGTGTAAGGGTTCCATACACCTATCTATTTCATTTAATCAAACAAAAATTTTATTTTTTTATTGATATTTAAAATAATTTTTACCCAGTGATCAAAACCTGCTGAAAACAGTAAAATGGTAGCAGGATCAAATGCCAATGAAGTAATTCCTCTTGTATGTCCTTTAAAAGTAAATTTTATTTTATTTTCTATTGTATCCCATAGATTTATCTTGCAATCTAACCCTCCCGAAACCATAAATTAGAGCTTAGGAAGACAAATTAAACTTGTTATTATATCGTTATGTCCTCCTTAAAGAATTATATTCTTTTAAAACTAAAAGAAATTATTAGTATCTCCTTTCTTTTTTAGTTTCTCTCCTTACTCTTCTTTATCGAGGTAGAGTTTATTTAGATTCCAAAGCTCAATACTTCCATCAAGTTCTCCACAAAACAGAATTTCTCTGGAATCATCCCAGCTCATACAATTAACTTCGTGTTTAAAAAGCATTTACTCCTTGACAAAAGTATTATTTCTTATTTCTGTTAAAGGCACAAATCCCCCATTCAAAATTCTATAAATTATATAAAAATAGAATTGTTGCAAACCTATAAAAAGAATTAATATAAACATTCATCTTCTTTTTAATTTATTTGAAATACAAAATATCAATGTAAATAATAACACTCTTTACAATTTAGGAAATTTAATTTGAATATCTAAAATATTTCTTAAATTTAATATTAAAAATATTAAAGCACCAATTGATTAATAAAATTTTTTTTTAAAATATTTAATTTGATTTAAAATAAAAATAAAACTTATGATCTTAATATTAGACATATTATATTAATAAAATGTCAAATTTTTGAGAATGGTTCTATTTATAAATTATTCCTTTTAATCATATCATAAGAAATTTTATTAAATATTATTTTAAATTTTTAAAATTTAATATTTTGCTAAATAAACTTTGATTAAAAAAATGGTATTTTATGATTGATTTTATATTTTATGAATGAATTTATTTATAGCATTTTTAAAATTAAAGAATACTCTTCAATAATGATTTAAATATTAAAATCAATTAAATATTTTTGGCAGGATTCTCATAATTTTAATACATAAATAAATTGAGATTATAATAGTTTTAATAATTAAAATAATTTGATTACTTATAAGCACGTACAAATTTGTCAGTAGTTGAAACCATCAAACATTTATGCTTGACATCAGAAATATATATGATATCTAATATGTGAGTAACCATTTTAATTTAAATAATTTTTTCATCTATATAATAAAAATCTTAATTGTCTTTTTTAATACTGGTAGAATTAATTAAATAATCATCTGGCTCTATTTTGAGAGGCTTTGGAACTATTGTTCCGTCAATGTGATTTAAAATTTGAACGATGCAAGATCCTTCTTCAAAGAAAGCAACTTTATCAATATCACTAATATAGATCACTTTTTTAATGATACTTGATTTTACTTTATAATTTATGTCAACATCTTATTTAGTATACTACTTAACAACATCTTTCCTTTTATTGTTTAATGAAACTGATTTTCCCATCACAAAATTTGATAATTCATCCCATGCCAATAGCCCATTGAGATTCATATCCACTTGCTCAAAGAAATTTGACAAGCAACTTTAAATAAACAAAAATTTAAATGAAATAAAAACAGTAAGTAAATGCTAACTAACTAAATAAATAAAAACATACATGTTTAACTTTTGTTCTCTATTTGTTAAATCTTATCTCCAATCTGATAAATGATGTCTCATCATTATTACAAATTCGTTTACTTTTAATTCTCCTCCTGCGGCTTCAAAATCATTCTTTAGAATGCTCAATGTAAACGGATCTAATTTAAGTAGAATCTCGCTAAGTAAATTTGCTTCTTCATCTCTTTTTCGCTTTAGAGAGGTTCTTGGAGAGTATATTGCCTCATATTTTTATCGTTCTTGTAATTCATATATTTCTTACTGTGTTAGTTTCTGTGCATCTTAAAATTCTTTTTGTTTTTAGATGTAATGCTAATTCATTTACTATTTAAAAATTTGTATAGAACTAAGTATACTTAGATATTTCTACTTTGCTATTTATTTTTTAATAGTTATTAATTGAAATTAATTATTAAAAATTAATGACAAATTATTTGGAAAAAAGCTGAAATAACATTAATAATAATAAGATTTAAGGTATATTTAATTAATAAGGAAAAAAAATTAATATTTTTAAGTATTCAAATTACTTATTTATTTTATTTATTAAATTAAATTATAAACATTTTTAATTATTAAACTAATTTATTTTTTTATAATATAAATATTATTATCATAAACTAAAAAAATCAGTTAATTAATTTATAAATAAATAAATAAATAAATAAGCTTTCTTAACTTTATTTATTTTTGAAGTATCTCAATAAAATGGATTTAATTGGCTTTTAATTAATTAATTTTATTTGAATTTTATGATTTATTAATAATTATATTAGTAAAATATTCATTCATTTTTATATTTATTAGAATTTTTTTTATTCTTAATTTTATTTACAAATGATTTTTGAATTATTTTATTCTTAAAAAATTTATTTGTTAAATGTATTTGATCTGTCTTTATAAAAGCTAACATCAAACTTCTTTTTATGATTGTTAAATTCCAAACATAATATTAAAGCAATCCCAAAATATTTCCTTCCTAAAGCTAAAGTTAGACTAAGCTTTTTAAGATGCCTAAAAGAATAATATAATTTTTTGCTTGACAGGAACTACATTGAGGTTCTCTATTATTTATCTTTAATCCTCCTTTGAGAAAACATCTCTGTATTTTAAAATTAATTAATATAATTAATTACTAATTATTCTTTAATTTAATTATTTACTCTTAAATTTTCAGTCTATATTTAAAGTGAGTAAGTTGAATATGGTATGATAATATTATTTATAGAGCTTTGTTTAGATTCTAAATAGATTATTAAGCATTTTCTTAATATGTAATCCAACTTTATTCATTCATCTACGACCTTATGTTTGTTTACAATATAAATTTATAAGTTAACTTTAAAACTTAAAATAAATTTAATTTAAATATTTTATTTGCTTCACTGATTGATTGATTTACCTTTATTTATCAAACTTTATATTTAAAGTTAATTCCAAAATTGAAATATTTTTAATTGAAAGTAATATTTTAGACAGCTCCTCTATTTCTTAAAAGCTAACTCTAAGAAAGCTTGCTACTTTCAAAGGCCTGATATCTACTTTTTACAGATGGCATTTATGGTAACTCAAAAGCTTTAAGTATTCTTCCATAACAAAAAAGCCACTATGTTATATCGAAAACAAAATAAATTTTGGTGGTTTAAATATTAATATTACTAGTATCCTTCATATAAATAGCTAATGCTATGAATTTTAGAAAGAAATATATTGTACAAAGATGCATCTTCTATTCTTAAAAATTAAAGAAAGACTCATTAATAAGAAGTCAAAGAGCGATTTTACTTTGATATTAAACAAATTTTATGACAATCAATTCTTTTAGTAAAGAATTTTAAATCCTTCTCTTCCTATATTTTTTGAGAACCATAATCATTTTGCAAACTTAATTCATTTCCTAATTTTTTGAGAGAATAATCAAAATCATGAAATAGCAACATTCTTAGAACTAAATTTGGACGCTGAACACTTTTTTCAGTGAAATACAAAAGAAAACTTTATAAATTCCATTCTTAACTCCCTTCCTTTGCATGGCGTGTAAAGAAATTTTTGGATATATTCTCTGGTTCTCTGTCTGCTTATTTATCAGTATTTCTACTCCAAAAATAAAAAAATTATTGAAATGTCATCTTTCCATCTTCTCCATAAATTTAAAACCAATAATTTAAAATGTTTCTGAATTCAATTTTTATTTCGTTTTCTTAATTTTTGTTTCTCTCAATTAAATATTTCGTTTACTCTTCATTGCTTAACGTGCTTAAAAACTTTAAATACTTTTTTGTATACATTCTACTACAAAAGTATAAAAACTATAACAAATAATATAGATAGATAGATTTTTAAAAATTAAAAAATTAATTGATTACAATGCTCAAAATGAATTTATTTATTTATTTTAATAAGACAACAAAAAAATATTTTAAATTTAAAAACTAATTAATTTTGCTTAATGCTTCCATCACTATTTTAATTTGAAATTATAATGCTATCTATCTTAAATTTATCAGCATTTCATAAAAATAATAATAGCGTTTTGTATGTATTTTCATGAACTAACTAAAACTAACATGATATTTACAAAAGATAGAATATAATATTACTAATAACTTACTACATTTCTATTTTATTTTTATTTATTGGAAGTAAAAAATGATAAATATTAAAATATAATCAGATAAGTATTAATTTTTATTTAGATTTTGTTAATAACAGTAATAGAATAATAACACAATAATTTTATTCTTTTTATTTTCTTTATAATTTTTAAGGGATTTCATAATATTCTTCTAACAATTGTTTAAAAAACAACTAAAAGTTTATTAATTTATAGGAGAAATAATTTTAATTGCAAAATTTCAGTGACTTTAATCAGAAAATCAACACAAAAAAAATAAATTTATATTTCTGATAAAATATAATGGAATTCACTAAAAAAAATAGACTATAAGTGATTTGATAAGAAATTTACTTATATACAAGAAAAAATATAATGCTAAAAATTAAAATAGATTGAGTGATTTTTGATAAAAAAAATGTTAATATCTATTTATTTATTTATCTTTGTTTCATTCTAAGATTTATTTAAATATTACATATCAATCTATTATTTTATTTAAATACTGATCTCTTGGTAGAATATAAACCGAATTAATTATTGTTATTTACAAAAAATAAAATTAATTAGAAGATTTACTTTATAAACTAACATAAAAAAATGGAAAAGAATACTAAGCTTGATCTACAGCTCAGTTAAACTAAGAATTATGTAAGAGTCAGTGTTATTCCCCCTGATGACTTAGAAAGACATCCCTGTAACATAGTTTGCTTAGTCGATGGCTCTTTATCTATGGGATCCAAGTTAGTGATTCATTAAAAGAATGGAGGCAAAAAGGAATCTGATATGACAACTTTGGATTTAGTAAAACACACAGTGAAGACTATAGCAAGTTCATTAAATCCTTAAGATAGATTAGCTTTAGTGGGATTCAGTACTCATTCCAAGATATACTTTGAATTGACAGAAATGGATGATTAAGGCAAGAATGTAGCTTTTACTGAGATTGATAAGATGTGGGCAGGAGGTTAAACAAATATTTGGGGTGGCCTTTAAGATTCCCTAGAGGTTATTAAAAAGGGATTCAGACCTAATTAAAATGTATGCATTTTTCTGTTCACAGACGGAAGACCTACTATGATTCCTGCTATAGGGCATGTAGAAATGTTAAGAAGATGGAAAGAATAACATCCTGCTATTTAGTTTTCTATTTTCACATTTGGATTCGGAAATGATTTAGATACAGATTTGATGCTAGAATTGTCTCAAGAATAAAATGGAATATTTTCTTTCATTTCTGATTCCAGCATGCTAGGAACTGTATTTTCTAATGCTCTGGCTAACATTCTCTCTACCATGGCAAACAACGTTCATTTAAATTTATAACTTTCAGAGGGTTATACTTTTGATGGAGAAGGAGTTATGTAAAGTTAGTCGTTTTAAGCTAAGAAAACTAATAAAAATACAACTTTAGATCTCAATTTAGGGCTTATCAGATATGGTCAGACTAAAGATTTAATCCTTAAGATTCTTCCATAATAAAATAGGAAACTATCTGATGTGAAAATAACTTATACACTTAAATATAAATTGTTTGTTGGAGATAATCCTTAAGACATAGAAACAGTTTCACAGAAAGATGTTTAAGTAGTTTAAAATGCTATGATAGATGATGAATGTCACTATGTGCGTTTTTTATTTATTGAAAAAATAAAACAAAGCATACTCAGAATGAATACAGGTTTTTAAGACAGAGCTATCAAAAATATAGATGACCTTCAAGTAGAAATTTAGAATAAAGCAAAAGAAAATGATGCAATTGTTGCATTTTTAGAGTGCATCCTCTAAGATTTACAAGGAGAAGTTAAACTTGCTTTTTCTAATCAAGATCATTTTAAAAACTGGGGAGTTAACTACTTGCCTTCCCTCTGTTAGGCTCATTTTTTGTAACAATGTAGCAATTTCAAAGACAAAAGTCTTTAAAACTATGGAAGTATTTTATTCAAGAAAATAAGAGAAATTACAGATAAAATATTCTGTGGAAATAAATTCAAGTCATAGTTTATTAACGATGATAGGTAGCTCTATGCTAAGTTTTACGATTTAGTCAACTTGAATGATTTCTACGATGTTAGTGGTGGATGCATTCATGGTAAATGTAAAGTTTTGTTAGAAAATAATCAATATAAGAATGTAGAAGAAATTAGAAAAGGTGATATTGTTATTTGCCCAAGAATAGGAAATAAAGCAGTTAAAGTCGTATGTGTAGTAAAGACATTATGTACAGGCAGTAATCATAGTTTTGTCAAATTAGGCAATCTTTTAATAACTCCTTGGCACCCTGTCCGCTTAATGCATGAATAATAGTGGTAGTTCCCTTCATCCTTAGGTCAGACTATATTTGAATAAGCTGATGCAGTTTATAGCTTTTTGCTTGAAGATGGTCATTCTATGAGTATTGAAGGAGTTGAATGTATTGCATTAGCTCATAACATCTCAGAACCTGTAGCATAACATGCTTACTATGGAACTCATAAGATCGTTGATGACCTCTCTAACTTATAAGGATTCAGAGAAGGATATGTGATAGTTAATTAATAGCAAACAAAGCGTGATAAATTAACACATGAAGTCATTGGAATATAATAAAATTTAGAAATAAAACTTTGAAAAAGAACTTACTTATAATAATAAAATAATATTTATTTATATATGTATATATATTCATTTTGTAAACTTTTTTACTTTAAAAAACTTTCAAAAATTCATTAAAGTTTTATTTTATATTTTATGAAAATTAAGAAAGTATTTCCAATGATATTTTATTAACTTCAAAAGCTTACAAAATAAATCAAAATCCTTACTAAAAACATTATTTAGATAAATTTAAAATATCTTTTGAAAAAATAAAATAATTAAATAGCTGATATGAGTATAATTATTAAAAATTAATTTTAAATCTTAAATGGTTAATTAAGAAATACCCTTTATATTTAACAAGATATTCACCCATAACCTTAAATGAATATTTATTAAAGCAATAAATATATTTATTTAAATTTATATTTAATTGAATTATACATTTTTAATTTTTTAATTAAGAATTTATTGTTTTTATTTTTTAGCTCAAATTAAATTTAATTGTTAAAGCATTAAAAAAAAATTGTTTGTTGAGCTTTTAATATTTTTAATTAATTAAAATAATAAATCTATTATTTTAAAGTAAAAATAATTTTATTTCTTAATTTTAATATTATATTGAGGAAATTATTTATTTTTTTAAGATTAAATTACTATTAAATATTTATTTTAATTTATAAAATTGATAAATAAATTATTTTCTTATCAGATTAATTGGCAAGATAATTTTATAAAAATGAATGAAGATAAATTGATAGATAGATAGATGCATTTCGAATTTAAATAATTGGTTTAAAGATATTTAAAAATAAAAGGAAAATGCAAAAAGATATAAGTTTCATATCATTTGAAAGATATTAAATGAATTATATTTAATGAGTTGTTTATAATGCTTTTAATATTTGATTGATTGATTTATTGATGCATTTCTAATTAAATTTAATTTTTGTGAGCAGATTTTCAATTTAAAGACAGTGAATATTCATATATGCTATATGAATGAGTTAATGAATGTAGGAATTGCTATTCAATCATTAATAAATAAATAAATAAAGTGTTTGATTTTTACGAATATAAAATTCAAAAAAAATAAATTATTTATCAATATTTCCAAATCTGTTAATTAAATCGATTAGTTTCTGAAATATTTATTTTTAAGAAGGAGATATTCAAAATAAAAATGGAATAAGGAGAAGATAATAATGATTAATATAAGGAAAAGCTGTTTCATCTTTTCAGTGATACTGGTATGCTCAATTCTGTTAAGGCATAGATGAGACATAAAATGATTGAAAAGTTAGTTAAATCATAAAAAGTCTAATAAGTTTAGCAAAAGATTCATGATGAAAAGAATCAACATAAGGCTTTGCTCATGAGGCTTATGGCAAGTATTGTTTCTGAATATTTTGATAAAAATGATTACAGCTATTCAAATAGTATTTTTTAGCCTGAAAGTGGATATGCCAACAAAATTTTATAAAGATTTGAGATACTTGATATCATGAATTGTAAAAATATCGATAATCCAAAAATTTCAATTTTAGAAACTATGGTTGAAACATATTTGAATAATGTCAAAAATGTACCTAAAACTAACTGTGCCACTTAGACAGAGCACGCTGATGCTATTTTTAATTTGGAATAGCGTCTCAATACTGTTGATCATAAATATCGTGAAAAAGTATAAGAAATAAACACTCCAGCCCATGAGATTGAAGAAAGACTCTAGAGGTATATATTTGATTTTCTTTATAAATTTATTGAATATATTTAAAATTCTTTCTCTTTTTTTCATGTATTTAAATTAAATTAGATTTAAGAGGGAGTTTGAAAACAGGATTAAAGCTGAAATGAATGCAGAAGTTGTAAGAATAAGAGAATTTGAAATGGCAGCTGTAAGAATGGAAGAGTAGGAAAAATATCGTAAATTAATGAGTGAATACAGGGAAGAACTCGAGAAGGGTTACATGGATAGACTCACTAAGCTTAGAGAAAGGGAAAAAGATACACTAGAGAAATGTACTAACAAAATGAAAGAAATTGAATCCATCAATCATGATCATAGATAAAGAATTTTAAAAGACTTCGAACTTCTTAGGATGAGAGAAGATGAAATTGATAAATAAAGGATTTTAAATGATGAAACGCTCAAAATCCAGAAATAAAAGCTTGAAAATTTAGAGTAGGAACTCAAAGAAAAGATTAAAAAAGCTGAAGAATCTGCTTTAATTATCGAAAAGAAATATCAAAATGATTTAGCTTACACTAAACTGGAGGCTCATCGCGATTTAGAGGCTGAAAAACTAGAAATTATTGAAAAAAAGAGAATCCTTGATGAAGATATGTACAAGATAAAGCAAGTGAAGGTTGGTGAATTTATTTTTAAGTAAAAAAATATTTTAAATGAATTTTTATTTTGATAAATCAAAAAGGAAACAGCTGCTTAGTTGACTGATTAGACAAAAAAGCTTACAGAAGAGAACAGAAAATTAGTTGATGAGTTGAATGAACTAAGGCGTTAAAAGAAAGAATAAGAGTTTGAATTAGTGCAACTAAGAGATAATATTAGAACTGTAAGTGATTCATACAAGAGAGATCAGGATTCATCTAGAAACCTTGAACAGAAACTAAAAATAAAAGACGAAGAGGTTAATTTCTTTAAGAATGCTCTCGAAGAACAAAAGAAACTAGTTGATCAATACAAGCAAAGCTAAGTTGACAATCTTAAAAAGTTCAATAATGAAATCTAAGTTTATCAAAACTAAATTGAAGTCTTAGAAGAAAAGATAAAGGAGTTAAGAAAAATTAACAAAGAAAATGAAGATCTTCTTGATGAGGCTAGAAAATAAAGATACGAAATGAACTATCGCCAACCCCTTGAGTTTAATCACTATCATTTAAATGCCCCAGCAAGTTATACAGCAGGTCCTACCTCTTTAAAACCTTAATTCTAAAAAGAACTTGATGTAAAATAAATATTGACTTTTAAATTTTATTAATTATTTTTAATGTATATTTTTTGATGTATTAAAGGATCTTAGAGAGAAGAGAAGACAAGAAATTCTTTAATATCAAAGAGAAACTGAGGTTGTTGAAAAGAAAAATCACTCATTTAAATTTGAAAATATTTGGGATATATCGAATGCGTCTATAGATTTTACTCAATTTAAGGGGCACAAGCCAAGTTAGGATAGAGATAGACAAATTCTTGAAAAAGTAACAAATATTTTATTGAAGTTAGAATTTTATTTATTTTAACTAATATTTTTTAGGCTGAACTCACAAAATCGTAGATGTATTAGGATTTCGGCTTAGACAAAAAGGCTTTTACTGGAATTGGTGGAACAAATATCATTGAAGAGTCTTTCAGAGAGGAACTCGATTTTGCCAAATATGAAGCAAAACTCAAAGAATCCTATGATAAAATTGACTAGAATAACAGCTCTAGGCTAAGAGTTATGAGTGAAGTAGAAAGATCTCGCAAAGACAGTTTTAATGTTAACAAAGGCAAAAGCGAAGAATTACAAAACTAGAATTTCACAATAAAGAAAACTACAAACTAGAGTCCTACAAAGAACACCATAGAATAATAATAATCATAGGAAAAAATATAAACAAAAAGTACATTCTCTAAACAGACTCTGAATTAAATAAGCGGTTTATAAGATAATCCCAGCTTAGAATAACATTAAAAATATAAAAAGGAAGATAGCCAGTCATTAATTTCTAAAGATGCCATGCTTTCAATTCCCCAAACATTTACTCAGTAAGCAGAAAAAAAGCATAGTCTCAAAGACTCTCCACTTGATACTAAAAAGCAAACTACTCTTTAACCATTGATTGACTTGACTAAAAAAGATTAAAAATCATCCAATTTAAATTACTTGCCTCCACCAATAACATAAAAACAACCTCAATAATCCGATTTTAACTATTTGGATGATTTCGATGATCTAGATGATTTTTCTGACAAGAATAAAAAATCTAACTAACCTCAACCACTTAAAGATGATAAAAAAGATTTGTGGTCTCTCCCAAAAGATTCTGATCTAAATAAAAAAAGTGTTTCAAACCCCTTCTCGAAAAAGAAGGAAGACCCTTTCTCATCTAAAAATGAAGACATCTATGGAAAAAAATTCGATCCTTTTGGCAAAAAAGATGATAAATTTGGAAGTAAGGACGATCCTTTTTCATCTAAAAAGAATGATTTCTCCCTACCTTCAACCTAGAACAAGTAATAAAAATTCGAACAAAAACCTGCACCATATAAATAAGATAAATCCACAATAGATAACAAAGAGGATGATAAAACTATTTCTGAAGAAATTGAAGAAATTGTTGATTATAATGAGGAAATCGTTGAAGATCTAGAATATTTCTGATTCCTCTTTTTCAAAACTAAAACACTCATTTATTAATTAATATCATTTTCCTTTTAAATATAATTAAACCTTATCAAATAAATATAATTAATTAATTAATTAAATTAACTCATTCATAATTAGCTCTTATTTGTTTATAATTAAATTTTCAAAAAATAAAAAACATTTTAAATCTAAATATAATTAATCAGTCTACTATCTTTCCTATCTTTTTATAGTTAAAATTACTTTTTCATTTTTAGATGGATAAAAATTTTATAATAAATAAATATATAAAAAATATGAAATTTATTTTGAAAATAAAGTGAAAATCTATGGTATTTTTTATAGAATACTATAAAAATATATAAGAGTCAATTAATAAATTAATAAACTTAATCAGTCATCAAAAATAATTTAAGGTAATTAGTAATAATTTTATTGTAAAATAATAGATTATTTTCTATTCATCATCTATCTTGCTATTTACATTAGTAAATCTATCCTTAATTTCTCATTTTATATAAATTCGTCAGTAGTTTTAATTTTTAATAGTTCAGAGTCTTTAACGTCAAGGAATGATTCATGTGACCATTAAGGCTGATAATTTTTTTAGACAACTGCTTTTTTCAAACCCTCAATGCAATCTTTGTATAAAAATGTTGCATTGATTGCAGCTTTAATTTAAAGAAGGTTAAATTTTTCAACATCAATCATCAAAGAACACATTTATAGAAGATTGAAATTAAATCTTATGGAAATTCTGCTTGCTTGATTTATTTATTGCAAACACTTTAAAGAAAATTTTTATAATTCTAAGTCTGTTTTTTAATGGGCATTTCTGAGCAAGTTATTCCAAAAATCTTTGAAATCTCTCAACTCAAAATTATCTTAAATGTAAGCAAATAATTTAGTATTGTCGCTATATTAGATAAAGTCTGCAGACATATCAGCATATTTCTAGCAAATTGATTTACATTGATTCATATCTTAAGCCAATATAAGTTCTCTTTCCATCTAAGTTAAAAATTAACTTTAAATATAAAAGTCAGCTAAACCAAATCTGATACAATCATAGCCCTTTACTTGCTCTCCTGTCATCCAAAGGTATGTTCCAATGTTATTTTTTAATCCATAGAAGTATTATGGGGTATAGATTACAAGGCCATTTTTGCATTCTAAATTAAATGTAAAAAAGTTGTTTATAAATTAATTAAATCTGTTTTTACCAATTTAAATTAGCTAATTAATTAGTTAATTTTCACAAAATTAATTTAAAAACTTTTAAATAAATTTATCCTTCTGATAAAGATTTTATAAAAAATGTGTTTGTTTTCTTTTGAATTAAAACTTTATGTGTAAAATTTGTATTTACCTGGCATCATTATCACAGTTCTTTCCGTGCAGATTTTTATTTTAGAATAGCAACTTAACAAAAAAGCCTCCCCAATAGTAAATCCGTCATAGATTGCAATAGATCCACAATTTTCCATATGATTGAGTAAATAATAACAATAATTGTTTTAGAACTCAGTCAAAAAGTAATCAAAAAGCAAAGTCTTATCAGGATTAGTTATGTAAGAATACAAATCCTTGACATCTCCTCCGCATCCAAAGGCTTTTCCATAAGTTCCTTTGAGAATGACAATCTTATAATTAGGATCTTATACAATATTCATAAGTTATTTTGACATCTGAGTATTTATTGCATTATTTCTGCGAGTGTTATTTAGTTCTACTAAGACCTTCTAGTATGGTAATTCATTAACTATCAAAAAATCATTGTATGATTACTTGTTAGATATTTAATTACTGATAGTATTTATGCGCTCCATTAATGAATGAATATTATTTATTGTTAGTTAAAATATAAATAAATTATTTGAATTAATTAATTATAAAGAACAAGCAATCTTAACTATCTCATCATTTTATTATAGTTTTATTAAAGAATTTAGAAATCTTCTACTTAAAATATATTTGAATAATAATATTAAAAATCCGCAACAGTAAATACACTACATGATTTTTAATACCTAATAATCTTTTTTTTTTCATTAAAATTAAATATTTGATCATTATACTCTCATTAAATTACTCCCTCTCTAATTAAATCTTTCTCACCCATTTCTTTTGAACATTAATTTTCTTCTATTCTAATGATTTTTTAATTATTATATCAATATTCATAGTTAATTAGTTATCATAACTCAAATAATATAAATCAATTATTATTTTTTATCCCTATATTACCATCTTACAAAGTCTTTTTATAAAGATAAATAAAAATTCTACTCAATAGATTTTCTCTTATGTATATTATAAATACAATTGTTTACTAAAAATATATGCAAAAAAATATGTTAAAACTTTTTTAATTGGTTTATTCAATACATTTAAAATATTTGCTAGTTGCAAAATAAAATATTTTTTCAGAAGTTAAGTTTTTAATTTGATAATACAAAGTTATTTGTTATGTTAAACCTAAACTTTGAGGTTAAACTATACAAAGCTTAAAAATATTTTTAAATAACATATAATAAAATATATTATACCCTTGATCTTGTTTTAAAAAAGTTTAAAAATTTAAATCTAATTTATTTATTAAAAGAATTTAAAAATTTTAAAATTACTTTAAAAATGAAAGTTATAAGTTTATTGTTAATAATTTTGAAATTAAATAACTACCAACTAACCATTTACAATTAATTTTAAAATAATTTTGATTTTATGAAAATAAATCGCTCTCTTTTGATTTATCCAAATTATTTTATTTTAATCTAAATTTTTAATAAATAAAATTTATTTTATCATTCAAATTCAAATTGAAGTTTTCTTTGAAAAAAAAACAATAAAATTAAAATAAATAAAATTTTTATAAATAAGATAAAAATTATTCTTAATTAAATTAAAAACAGAATAAAATGTTTTTTATAAATAATAATTAATATTAATACGTAATAATTAAAATTAATAAATATAGATCTCAACCTTATAAATTATATGAAAGAGGTAATTCGATTTAAGTTATGTTGTCTAAGCTAGGTAGAAAACACAGCTTATAAAAGTCTTTTTACATTTTATCTGTTAAGAATAGTTGAGTATTATTTATTGCTTTACAAACGGAAGCAGCCTTTTAATATTTTTGATCTTTACATGCAATTAATTTTATTACATTTTTACCAAATATTCTTCCGTTTGGGTTATTGAATTTATACTTCTTTAAATGATGTTCAAATCTACAGCTTAGATTTAATTTTTCTAAATGGTTCTCTGCTTCCATTTTCCTTATACACTGAAAAAATTTTATGCATGGCTCTTTACTCAAATACCAACTATTTATAATTATTAACAATTTAAATATTTATGTGCTAGAAATATTATTTTCATAATTATTACGCATTCATATTAAGAGAGAGATATTTTAAAGTGTTTTTCTTATACGGTGGGTTTAAAATTTAAAGTATGAGTTCGATTGCACATTCTGGATTTATGATTCCTTGCCATCTGTATTTTTTTTAAAGTTAAACTCTCAAATAAAGTATAATATTTAGTTAGATATTAAACAAATACTCCCAAAAATTAATGCTCAAGTCTTATAAATCTGTAGTTTATCTGATTTTAACTAATGCTTTTGCTAGGCAAAGCAGTCCTTTAACGCTTCCATTAGTCCATCTTTTTATTATAGCAAACAACCTTGAATTTTGAAATTTTTGTTTTTTAATTTAAATTACCCCCATAAATCTAATCCAAGTCTATAGAAATTAGGTTTATTGACTAGCTTCATGAGCATAGCTTCCAGACATTCTAACGTGGTTTCTATTTTCAGAGGATTCTTCCAACTACAAAATTGGTTTTATGATTGATGTCAAAATAATAATAAATTAACTTTCCAAATGTCAGAAATAATGAACTCAAAGGATTATTTAGAATTAGAGAAGCCAGATTTTCAAATAAAGTCTCAGGTACAACTGATGATTCCTAACCCCATCTTAAAAATAAGTGATTTAATTTTTGTTAAAAACATAATTAATTACTTACCCTCCTAGATTTAAAGTAAAGTTTCTGAGTGTGCTTAATTATGAAATATATTTAAGAGATTCTGCTAGAGATATCGAAGCCTGCCAAGAAGTAAGACTTTAACACCTACAAAATTATTGAAAATTTAGAACTTTACTAATTAATTAATTAATTAAATTCTACCATGCAAAATGTAATTCTATATTTTCCAGTTATCGACAATTAGTTAAACATGCCTTAAAAGTGGCTGCTAATTCATCAAAGCACTTGTAATCAATAATACCTACCCATCTTCATAGAAACAAAAAAAATTTTATTGTATTATGCTTGAAATGTTCTAAATTTACCCATATAGATTCAGGTAGAAGGTCTTAATCTAAGTACATTAAACTAAAACCTCTTTTAAGCATTTAAAGAGGAAAGAAGTGTCAGCAGAAGTACAGGAAGACCATCTATTTATTATTAAATTTTTTAATTTTATCACTTAAAAAATTAAAATGAATACCTACCTATAAAGATCTAAGCTGAGTGTATGAAGAGTAAATTTATTTTTGAAAGCCATCTTTTCAAGCTATTTTCCCAATTATTTTGCAGCTAAGCCCATTGATTTATTAAAATTATTTTTTACTTGTTTTTTAACATAAAAGTGAGCATCTTCGTAATTTCCACTGTTCCAAAGCTGATTTATTTTTAAATTAAAATATATAAAAACAATCAATATATTTTTTTAAAACGATTACATCCATGGCTGTCTTTCCTCCAGTTGAAAACTCCAAAACATTTAAGTTATTAAAGCAAGAAAAAGATCCTGTGTAGAATTAAATATCTGTTTCAGTTAGTTAGCTCGATACTCTTAAAATATATTATCAGCCAATTAATGAATTGATAAATATTTCTAACTAAATTAGCTTACTTGTCAAGTATGATATGAAGATTAGTAATATTCTTAGCGTATAAATAAAACCAGTCTGCGATTTGTGCACTGAAATCATGGAATCCCATCATTTAATCATATTTAATTTCTTATTTGAATCTTCTCGTGTCAATATAAACAGTTTTTCCATTTAGCTAGTCCTAAACTTAATCTTTTAAATAATCATAGACCTGTTTGCTAAAATACCCATAAATATTGACAGCAATGTAGATTCACAAATATAATTACCAACTCTTAAGTGAAGAATCTAAAAATTTCCACAGAGTTCAAGTCTTGAATACTTTCCAAGTCTTAAATTTATCTGATTTCAATATCTTTTAAAGCCCTTTTAATCATATCTCCCAAATTAATTTTATAAAATTCAAAAAAATTCGATTAAAAAACAAAAACTTTATCAAAGTTAAATATTTAATAATAATTTATAAAATATAAATAAGAATCACAAATTTTAGTTAAATCTAGATATTTATTTTAGAATATTCATTCATATAAAACCTTGACAATATTTTTTTAAAAATTTATCATCAAAATGATTTTTCAGAAAAATGAATGAACAAATTCAATTTTTTTTTTGAACTAAAATTATTTAGTTTGTTTTTCATTTTTAACTAAAATCACAAGATTTTTTATTTTATATCAATTGAAATCTTATTTTTATGATTATTTTATATAAATTAAGAAGTAAAAAAACAAAATAATTTTTAATCAATTATTATTAGTAATAATGTTATTTAATTTTTTCTTTCTTCCCATTTCGGAAGTTGTTGGTCTATCATGCTCTAAAGGATTTTCAACCACAGTTTCTGGATACTGAACTTGCCCTTGAGGGTTGTTAGTTCCTATAATAGATTAGTTATTTTATTAAGAGAGAACTGATTTATCTTTTGTAGAGGAGGCCTAAATACCTTATTTTCCTATTCTACTTTAACTTATATCTGTGGAAAGGCCACTCTAATTAACAGTAATCGACATACCTGCTCCCCTAGATAATTAAATTAGATATGACATAAAAAACTTAAAAAAAAAAATCTGATTACTTTTTATTATTTATAGCTGGTAAGCGACTAGATGACTCATCAACCTTGCTTACAATTTCTTCTATTGATTGCTAATAATAATTAATAAAAACCAATTATTTCTATGTTATTTTTATTGATTTGTATTTACTTTAATATTTGAAATTCTTTCTTTTTGACTCTGTAGCTTTTCTTCATTTTCATCATATTTCTCTATCAATTTCTTCATTTAAGCTGGGTTTTAAGATGATTAGTTTCTAAGTTTTTGCCTCTTTCTAATAGCTTCTGCAAGTAATTTCTCAATTTTTTTCATTTCTTTTCTATATCTTTCATTTTCACCTCTCAACAAATTGCACTCTTCGATGAGTTTAGTATTCTAATTCAAAATTGTGTTGATATTATCTCCACGAATTTATTTTAATTTATCAGATGTAATTTTAATTAAATGAAGCTTTTTAGTCATCCATCTTCCTTATCTTAAAAGTTCATCATTGACCTCGTTAGGTTTTTCTTGTTTCATCTTAATGATTTCCTTAATATCTTCATCTAAGTTAATTTAGAGAATAATTTGAATAAAAATAAAAAAATTTGATGAAAAAAGGTTTTTTTATTATTAATAAATATTTATTTGATTAATTAAAATATTTATTAAACTTCTTTTAAAAAAACATTCAATGTTTGCATATTTACTGTATGAATTAAAAAAGCTTTAAATATTATACTTAAATACAATGAAAAGAAGAAATCTTTAAATAAAATTAATTTCTTTTAAGTTGCTTAGAGTTAAAATTATAATATTAATTTGTTATATTAAAAATTTTCAAATAAATATTTTGAGATCTTGCTAAAAAACTGTAAATATCTCATTTTAAATAAAGCCATATTATTTAGTTAAATATTGTTACTAATAAATTAAAAATTAAATAATTAACAGAATTTGATAATTTACTAGAAATAACCTTTTTAGATGAATACTTATTAAACTCCTCGTTGTTCTTAGATTTCTCTAGCATGTCATAAAGTTTCTTACCTACTACTGTGACACTTTCTTAGCTCTTCATAATTGTTTGTAGTTACTAAATTATTTTCATAAAATTATCAATTAATTAAACTAAAAATTAATTTCAATAATTGTTAAAATAAAAATTACATTTTAGAATGAGGTAAGTTTATTTGTGTTAAAGAATATCTCGACTTCGCACTTTTTAATAGAGTTTTCTAAGACTTTAATTTCTGCGTTCAATTTTTTAAGATCTTAATACTTTTGTTCATTTTAATTAGATTCTTTAATCAATTCATTAAACATATTTTTTAGATTTTTTTCTTTGTTTGTTATTTTATCTAAGAGATTTCCTTTTTCGTTTTGCAAGCTCTTCTTTTTCTAGTTTAACATGTATCTAAAGTTTTCAAGATTAATTTGTTCATCTTTAGCTTATTTACATGTTTCTTCCTTGCTATCAATAACTTATAATCTTTCTAATAATTAATGCTACATTTTAAGAATATCTTGGTCATTCTTTAAATTTTCCATTCTAATTTCATTGTGGCGTTTCAATTATTCATCAATTTTTTTTTGTAAATCTTCATCCTCACGTTTTAACTTTTCATACTGCTTTATAAGATCTTGATTCTTCTTTTCAAGATCTTCATTAACCCTCTTTATCTTAGATATTTCTTCCTTTAATTCTTTTATCTTTTCATCTATTTCTTTCTCATATTCTACATCTTAGTTCTCTAAACGAGTGATAAATGCGTTACCAAAATTTTTAGTATTATCAACGACATTTGAGTATTTTACTTATATTTTTTGGCATTTCTCATAGAAATTCATCTATAAAAAAAAAATTTTTAATTTTGCCAAGAAAAAATTGAAATTAATTACTTTTAACTTTTTTAAGTCTTCTTTGTGCTAATTAAGCAAATTTTATAAGTCATCTTTATGTTTCTGCTTAATTTTTTCAATTTCATCTTCTAAGTCTTTGTTTCTTTAGTTTTCATACTCTTTAGTTTAAAGAATTCTTGTTAAATAAGAGTCTTTTAATTTAAAGTTAAATACCAATTTTCTATTTATGCAATTATTCCAATTATTCAATATCTTATTTGTATTTTTTTTATTCTGTAACAAACTGCTCATACAATTTATTATATTCGTCATTCGATTTCGACACAAATGTATCTTTCATTTTCATGTCACTTTCCATCGTGATTTAAAAGTCCTTTTATATTTTTGTTTAAAATTTTAATCAAATTCATTTCAATTTAAAAAAAATAGTCAAAATTATTTAAATTATTTAATCAAAAAATAAAATTTTTACTTTATTGATTGCATCCATTTTTTACTTGTACATATTGTCAAGCTTTTGAGTTTCTATTTTCTTGGTTTACTCTAATTTTACAACTTCGAATTAAAGTTTCTTTTTAAGCTCATTCTTTTCCATGATTTTGGAAATTTTGGCAAGGAATAAGTCATTAGAAGTTTATTCTATTCTGAGTTTATCCTCATTTTTAGAATTTGTTGCTGAGTTTTTCTTAAAATCGATGAGTTCTCCATTTTCAAATACGTCAGCTATTTTTAGCATGAAAACTTACCCATCTTCATCTCCTGTGAATAAGTATTGATTATCATAAGAAAGAACCATTTGAGTAATGGCTGATGAGTGTACTGCGATTTCAAAGAAATCTGGAATCTTTTACATAACCTAGACAGTATTAGGGTTATACTATTCATATTCCATAGCGTCATCATCTAACGGCCAAACACTGACTCTGACTCTACCCTTATTAGTACCTTCATAATATTTATTTTATTGTTTTTGCTTTCAGCTTTTATTTAATGCTAAATAAATTTGATAAAAATATACCTAAAAATATGCATTTTAGCTATGTTGAAACCACTAGACTAGTGACATAGCAATCTGTAACTGGGAATTCAGCTACAATTTTTTTCCATCTTTCTTTATAAATACTAAGATATTTCTCGTTTGAGCAGCCAACGAACAAATTTGATTCATCAGATTGCTCTCCTTCTTTTTTTAAGACATCCAAGTCATAGTAAATGCAATTATAAATTGAATTTTCTTGGTGCTCAAAGGTTTTTTGTATATTTTAAGTAGACTCTAAAATATTCCAGCAAAAAACATACCCATTCATGCAAGTAGAAACAATGTAAATATCATTAGATGTAATACAGACATCCCTAATTAAAGCAGGATGACCTTCTAGAATCTTCATTAAGTAAAATAATAAGTTATTAATTGATAAATCTTTGTAAATAAATTACTTATTAAGCTTCATAGTAAATAGTGTCGTAAATAAGAATTGTATTTTTTTCATTTGTTAACAAATAATGACCACCATGAGAGTATTTTACAAGTTTGCAATTAGTGAGGTTGACTTCTTTCAAAGGATAAAGTTGGTCATTTAAAATAGCAAAAATCTAAAATTAAATTAGTTAATTAGCAAGTTAATTTTTTTTAAATATTATTTACTTTAAATCCATTTGTAAATCCTACAGCAATAAACATGCCAAAAGGATGCAAACTAACACTTAATGGTTCTTCTTTGAAATATTGACTTATAATACCTCTCTTTTCTTAACTTTCACTTTCATAATAATTCCATATTTTTACTGTGTTATCTTCAGAGCATGTCGCGAATATGTTTTTAGTAATTGAGGTTGTAATTCCGTTTATTTTTTTTGTATGGAAACCAGCAGTGAAAAATGGTTGGATTGGAGATACTTCTGTATCAAGCTAATATGTATTTAGTAAATGGTAAGTTATACTACCAGCGGGCTCATAAGAAGCTATCGAAATAATACTATCATTGCTGGAGCTTGATAAGAAGAAAATCTTATGGTCATCATTATTCTAAAACTTCATTTCAAAACTCATTATGTTTACTATTTAATAATTCTTTTCAATATCATAAATACAGACACATCCTCTATTTCCTCCTAAAATGAATCCTCTTCTAGTTGATGTTATGCTTATAAATTCCAGTTAAGTATTATTTTATACTTATTTTATAGCCTTTATGTAAAATCTTTATTAAAAATTATTCAAACTAAAATTATAATTAACCTTCTCATTAGTTCCTTCTTTGTTTCCCTTATCCCTAATAATATCATCTAAAACGTTGTGTAATCCATATACATCTTCAATATCGTTTTCTCCTAAATTTACTTGATTTACTGGTGCATCAACAATATTTAAATTTGCAACATCAATTTCTACAGTTCTTTTTAATTAGTCATTTTATAGAATTAGAATTAAATTCCCTGCCGCTAATACTACAAGAGTTGGCACTGAAGTATTTGTTATCCACACATGATCTAAAAAACGATTTTCCTTTTCAATCTTTAGTGGCACTAAAGGGTTGTGCGATTCTTTTAATTGCTTCTCTTAAAAGAATACTTCCCACATTCTAAAATAATTTTATCCTGTCAAGACAATCTTTTTTCATTTAAAAAACCATTTTTTCAAAAGTAAATAACCTTCTATGAAATTACATTTGACGACTTAGAAGGATGCAATGAGAATTTAGCTAGATTTGCTTTAACTGGCATAGTAGCTAGCAGTTTATCTTTTTTATAGCTCCAAAAATTAAGAATTGGCTGGTTAGATCCCTATGGTAAAATTAAACCACAGCAATAAGATTTTTCAGTATTGATGCTAACCTATTTCACTACACCTTTTTATCCTTAATTTAAAACATGCCATTTATTCTAATATGTAACAACTATCTAATGTATATTTTAAAAAATAATTAATATTTCTCCTGATAAATCTTTTAATGCAACAGTTCTTTCTTTCTTTCTTTATTTGTTTATTTCTTTCTTAACTCTTGCTTGCAAAAATTCAATTAATCAATTCACTCTTGCTAGAAACAGCTTATAAAATAAAATACTGATTCTATGAAACTAAAATATTTTCTTCACTTTTCCAAGTTTATAGCAATAAATTACATCATTTGCATTATTAATTTATAAAAAAAAATGTAAATAAATTTATCACCATTGCAGGTTTGTCATCGTTCATAGATGATTCTCCGACCGCGATAATAATGCTTTTATTTTTAAGCTATTGAGCCGTCATGCAAGTAATGTTTTTAAATCTGTTTTCCTTTTGAATAAATTGATACTATTTCGATGTTAAATCCTTAATGACAATCATATTAGCAGCATTAAATACGATCTAACCTATTAAATTTAAAATTTATTGAATTTAAATGGTTAATTAGCTTCTTATTTATTCAAACTGCATTTCTAATGATAAAATTCAATTTAAACTGATAATCAGTATGAAAACTGCAAAAATAAATAAAACTATAATTTGAGAATATCTTTACCATCTCCTATTATAGAAAGCTATCCTTAAATTTATCTACAATTGATTCCGAATGCTGTATCAAATTCTAATGTACAACCATTCATCATCTTACCATTTTAAAAGACCTTTCTAACTTAACTCTATTATTTTAATGATAGAATAATTTATTAAACTCCTTGGACAATCTAATCCTATAATAAATTTTTTAATATTATCTACCTCATTTCTTTTCTCTAAATACTATCTGAACTTTTATTTTTCTGCCTCGTCTTCAAAGGCTGATTATTCTTTTTCTTTCTCTGCCATAATTTTTAAATCTTGAATGAAGTAAAAATTAATTAAGTATTAATAAATATATTACTTAAAATTGTTTGAAATGATAAAGTCAATAAATAAATAGTCAGAATTCAATTATCTTTAAATATTAATTAGAATCAATACAAAGTAAAACGATTAATGATTATCTTCATTTAAAATCAGTATTGGAACACAATATTATTATTCAAACTAAAATATTGATACCATAATTTATCAAATTATCTATTATATTTACAAATAATTAATTATTCATAAGTAGAAGATACATTTTGCCTTTGAATTATTTCGTGCTGAAAGCCATTTAGTAATTAATTATAAAATTTTCTCCAAGATTTAATACATGATTAATAAATTAATTTTATTTAAAAATATATTTTTTAAAAAATATTATTTATCTAGTTAAAAATCATGAGCTAATTCTTCAATAGGTAATGAAAAAAAATAGTAATCTTAAAAAATAAAATGCTTAAAAACTCAGTTTATAATTTCAAAATATTTTAATTTTATGTTTTAAGCCTAAAAAAAAATTTTACTAAATAGAATTAAAATTATAAATCTAAAACTAATTTATAGCTAGGTACATAATTTAAAAACCTCATAAAGAATTTTTTAATAAATTCTTGATTTAACCTTGAATTTTATAAATGTTGTTATAAAATTTTAAAAAATAAACCCTCTTTTAAAAATATCTTTGAACTTAAAAAAGAAAAAATAAATATCCTAAACAAATACGTGATTAAAGATTGTAATAATATGGATGCTAAAAAAACTAATTAAAGAATTAATATCTTATGAAGAGAAATTGAAGATAATAAATAAATTTATATTAGTACTAATTTTATTGATTAGACAGATAACTTACTTGGTTCTAGAAACTAGATTAATTTGAAGGAATTTATTATTAACACTAATTATTGTACCCCATACACATAGAATACAATTTTATAAATTCATATATTAATTATTTTAGGTGACAATAATAATTAATTTACTTATTTACTGCTTAATTACATTGATATCAACATCAAATTAATTAAAAAATTGATAGAAATATATGATTTCTTTTTAGATTAAGAATATTATTTATTTTCACAAAAAAAAATTAAAAACAAATTTTATTCAAAAGAAGCTTAATAAAATGAAGTAAGTTTATATCTTCTTAAACTGTCTCTTTTTCATTTCCTTAGTTGCTGGCTCAACTGTTTTAGAAGCTAGTATCAAATCTACAGATGCCTAAGTATGTGTTAATGACTTGAAATCAAAACACAACCTCTTATAATCTCTCTTAAATGATCTCTAGAAGAAAAACTACTTGAGAGTCATGGATAAAATTAATGACCTTAACAGCTACTTCAATACAACAGTATCTAAGTGCGCCGATCAATTTTGTTGGATGGATGGCTAATAAAGATGTGAATACACTTTTGAATAGTCTTGTGAGCTTGTCAACAATATGTGGTACCCTAAATGCAAAACTGGATACAAGGTCAAAGAGCAAAGCAGTAAATTTTAATAAGTCAGTTAGCAGTCTTTATTAAAAGTGTTTTTGTATTATAAAAAAGTTTGCGTCCAAGAATGTCCTTAAAATTTCAAAGAAAGTGGCTTGCTCTATTGTGAGAAGCCCGAATCTTACTTTAGAGGTCTTGGTTACCCATGGAAGTTTGGTGATAAATTGGGTAGTCTTGAAGGAGTAATAAATATTTTGCTTAATTTTTTTCTATCTTACTAAATTATTTTTAATCTACAAAATTTAGGCAAGATAAAGATGTGCTCATGAAAATCCCCAAGGTTGTGAAAAAGTAAATGTTCTATTAAATTTTTTTTGATCAAGATAACATTAATATTTTATTTAATTAAATAGGCTGGAGCTATCATTTATCCTAATTGCAAAGAAAATTACCATATTTCTGGATGCTGTAATTAATTATATTAATCATTTTAATCAATTTTAAATATTTTATTTTAAAAAAGGTTAATGTGTACCAAATTGTCCTAACGACATGAAAGACAATGGAGTCACATGCATGAGAAAACAATACGCTAGAGGCTTTGGTCATACTAATGGCTAATGTGTTGCTGATTAATGGAAGGAATATTCTCCTTTAGAATCTTTTGGAGGCTGTGTTGACTAATTAAATCAATTAGAAGTTGAGTTAAACCAAATTTAGGAAAAGTTGAATTTAGACTCTGATAAGACTATGTGGGATACTCTTAAATAGGCTTACGTTATTGTTTAATAATCTTCTGTTTTCAGCTAAAAATGCACCTAAGAAATTAATGCTTTACCTAGTAATTCCGATAATACTGATGATAATACTAGCGATTCCATTGGCAATGGCTGGACTCTTTTCTTTGAAATATTTTTCAAAGTTTTATAATGGATTGTTAATTTATTCTAAAAGAACTAATGAAATCTATTTGTATTTTAAAGAAGACTTACATATGTATGTATATATATTACAAATTATTGAAATATTATTATGAGAAAAAGATAGTAAGTAGTTTATTTCTACTTAAAAAAATACTTATTATTAAAATATACTTCTTATTTATATTTATCTATTTAAGATATAATCATATAGTTTTGCGAATAATTAAAAGATATTTTTCTATTTAGTTAATTAATATTATAAATTCCTAATTTAAGAATTAAGAAAAGCAAAATAAGTAAATAAGTAAGTAAGTACTTTCTCTTAAATTAGACCCCGTCTAATAAAGATACATTTTATATTTACACCCAAAAAATTTTCAAAAATTTATGGGGGGGGTGTTAATATTTAAGAACTTACAGTATTTGATAATTAGTTATATTTTATTTGTTTTTTCTATCCATTTATAATTCATTAAATTCCATAAATTGATATTAAATATTTTTGAAAAAAAAAATAAATGATATAATAGATTAAATATTACGATAAATTAGAAGAAGTAATTATCTATTTTTTTATTGATATCCTTTAAATTTATATATATTAATAAAAAAAGTTTTTAAACTCTTCACTATTATCTCATTAGGTCCTCCATATTAATCTGAAGTATATTCAAATTATAAATATTATTTTTTTATTATTAATTTTTTTGTTTTTTAACTTTCAATTTTTATTAAAAAAATAATATTTCTAATAGAAATTATCATCATAATTCATTGATTTTTATTCAAACAAAAATTTTTTAGCTATTTTAACTTAAGTTTAATTTTAATTTCAATTTTTAATTATTTATAATTCATTTTTTATTATTTTATATATATTTTACTTCATTTTTTGCTGTTAACATTTACACTTGCTAAAAACAGTTTATTTATTTTAGATTATAATATTTTTAAAACCTAATTTAAAGCAAAAAGCTCTTTTTTCTTTTTATTGTTTTCTTGATTGCTTTTTCTTCTTCTTTCTTTGTTAATTATTTTCAACTTTTGCTTTTATTATTAATTAATTAATCTTATTATTTCATATTTTTTCTTCATTTTTTCCTTCTAATTAACTATTAAATTATATTTTTTATTCAATATTTAAAAGGAAAAATTCAATTGGTACAATGGGTGCATCAGGCTTAGCTTCAGCTTTAGCAAATTGCATTAATCTCTCAAATTTGACTCTTAATCTTTTGTAAAAATAGTTTATTTGTTTTGGATTGTGATATTTTTAATTATAAAAACTGATGTAAAACAATAAAGCCCTTTTTTCTTTTTCTTTTTATTGTGTTTGCTTGATTGCTTTTTTTTCTTCTTTCTTTTTTAATTATTTTCAAATTTTCCTTTTATCATTCATTAATCATTTTATTTCATATTTTTTCCTTCTAATTTACTATCTAATTATATTTTTTTCTTTAATATTTAAAAAGTTAAAATAAAATTGGTGATGAAGTTACATTAGGCTTAAGTTCTGCTTTAGCAAATTGCATTAATCTCTCAAATTTGACACTTGATTTGAGGTAAAAACAATTTATTTGTTTTGGATTGTCATACTTTTAATTATAAAAACTAATGAAAAACAATATTGCTCTTTTTTCTTTTTCTTTTTATTGTGCTTGTTTTTCCATCTTTCTTTGTTAATTATTTTCTACTTTTCCTATTAATATTCATAAATCTTTTATTTCATATTTTTTCTTTATTTTTTCCTTCTAATTAACTATTTAATTATATATTTTTTCTTCAATATTTAAAAAGTTACAATAAAATTGGTAATGAAGGTACATCAGGCTTAGGTTCTGCTTTAGCAAATTGCACTAATCTCTCAAATTTAACACTTGACTTGAGGTAAAAACAATTAATTTGTTTTGAATTGTGATATTTTAACTATAAAAACTAATTAAAAACAATAAAACTCAATTTTCTTTTTCTTTTTATTATGTTGCTTGATTGCTTTTTTTTCTTCTTTCTTTGTTAATTATTTTCAAATTTTCCTTTTATTATTTATAAATCTTGTTATTTCATATATTTTTTAATTTTTTCCTTCTAATTAACTATTTTATTGTTTCCTTCAATATTTAAAAAGTAACAATTCATTTGGTGCAATTGGTACATCAAGCTTAGGTTCTGCTTTAGTAAATTGCATTAATCTCTCAAATTTAACACTTGACTTGAGGTAAAAAAAGTTTATTTGTTTTGGCTTGTGATATTTTTAATTATAAAAACTAATTTAAAACAATAAATATCTTTTTTTTTCTTCTTTTTATTGTGTTTGAATGATTCCATTTTTTTCTTCTATCTTTGTTAATTATTTTCAACTTTTCCTTTTATTCTTCATAAATCTTATTATTTCATATTTTTTCTTAATTTTTTCCTTTTAATTAACTATTTAATTATATATTTTTTCCTTCAATATTTAAAAAGTAACAATTCAATTGGTGCAATGGGTGCATCCGACTTAGGTTCTGCTTTAGCAAATTGCATTAATCTTTCAAATTTGACACTTAACCTTTAGTAAAAATAGCTTATTTGTTTTGGATTGTGATATTTTTAATTATAAAAACTAATTTAAAACAATAAAGCTCTTTTTTTTTTCCTTTTTCTTTTTATTTTGTTTGTCTGATTGCTTTTTTACCTTCTTTCTTTGTTAACTATTTTCAACTTTTGCTTTTATTATTCATTAATCTTATTATTTTATATTTTTTCTTCATTTTTTTCTTCTAATTAACAATTTAATAATATATTTTTTCTTCAATATTTAAAAAGTGATAATTATATTGGTGATGTAGGGGCATAAGGATTAGGTTCTGCTTTAGCGAATTGCATTAATATCTCAAATTTGGCTCTTTACTTGGTGTAAAAACAGTTTATTTAAGAAATTTTGATATTTTTAATTAAATTAACTAATTGAAAACAATAAAGCTCTATTTTCTTTTTCTTTTTATTGTGCTTGCTTGATTGCTTTTTTTTCTTCTTTCTTTGTTAATTATTTTCAACTTTTGCTTTTATTATTCATTAATCTTATTATTTCATATTTTTTCTTCATTTTTTCCTTCTAATTAACAATCTAATTATATATTTTTTCTTCAAAATTTAAAAAGTTACAATTATATTGGTGATAAAGGTTTATCAGGCTTAGGTTCTGCTTTAGCAAATTTCATTGATCTCTCAAATTTGACACTTGACTTGGGGTAAAAATAGTTTATTTGTTTTGGATTGTGATACTTTTAATTATGAAACTAATTTATAACAATAAAGCTTTATTTTCTTTTTCTTTTTATTGTGCTTGATTGATTCCTTTTTTTCTTCTTTCTTTGTTAATTATTTAAAAATTTTGCTTTTATCATTCATTAAACATATTATTTCATAATATTTCTTCATTTTTTCCTTCTAATTAAATATCTAATAATATATTTTTTTTTCAAATTTAAAAAGTTACAATAAATTTGGTGCAATGGGCGCATCAGGCTTAGGTTCTGCTTTAGCAAATTGCATTAATCTCTTAAATTTGACACTTGACTTGGGGTAAAAACAGTTTATTTGTTTTGGATTATGATATTTTTAATTATAAAAACTAATTTATAACAATAAATCTCTTTTTTCTTTTTTTTTATTGTGCTTGGTTTGTTGCTTTTTTCTTTTTCTTTCTTTGTTAATTATTTTCAACTTTTTCTTTTACTATTAATTAATCTTATTATTTCATATTTTTTCTTCATTTTTTCCTTATAATTAACTATTTAATTAATTATTTTTTCTTTAATATTTAAAAAGAGAAAATTAAATTAATGATGAAGGTGCATTAGTTTTAGGTTCTGCTTTAGCAGATTGCATTAATCTCTCAAATTTGACACTTCGTCTGATGTATAAGCAGTTTATTTGTTTTGGATTGTGATATTTTTAACTATTAAAATGAATTTAAAACAAAAAAGCACGTTGAATTTATTTGTTAGTTTTTATTTGATTTTTTCTTTTTTTTCCACTAATATTATTTAATTTATGAATTTAATAAATAATTTTTAATTTAAAAGTTTATTTTATTTAATATTTATTTAAGATTAACACAAATTTATTATAAAAGTTCAAACTAAATTAATTAATCTTAAAACTTCAAAGTAATAAACAAGTGTCTTAAATCAAAAAGATTAGTTGTCTTTAAAAAAGAATTCTGATGATAAAAAAGTGGCAAAAAAAGGATGAATACATATTAAATGTTTGAATAACTGAATATTATATGTTTTATTATTTAATATTTTTTGAAAAAGTATTTTTAACCTAAAATAGATAAATAGATAGATATAGATAGATTTTATTATTATTTTTATATTCATAAATATCATATAATATTTAAGTTAATTAAAAAGCTAAATCATTTTACTTTTTTTCAATTCTCACATTGCTTCATTTGTGTGTATTTAAATTTTATTTAATTCTTTTGTATTCATTTCTTTGTTAAAATTTGAATTATTTTTTAATTATGACCATACTGACTCAATATGGTTAGTTGTGTCTTTACCTTATCTAAATCCTCTTTAGTGATTAATCTAATAATGGATATAGCTTTCATCTTCTATAAAATTATAGGAGGCATATTGGTTAATATATGTAATAGTTTACATATCTGGATCATTATGTACTTATTGAAGAATGAAGTTCTTACTTTAAAGGAATTAATTTATTTAAGTAAATTTAATTTTTAAATTTTTTTATTTTTATATTTATTAATTTACAAAAGTAAGATATTCATAAAAATAAAAACAATAATAAAATTTATCTATCTATGTATAAAAACTTTTTTAAAATATTATATAATAAAACACAAATTATATTTTATTATTCAAATATTTAATATTTCTTCATCCTTATTTTACCACTCGTTTATCCTCATTAGAAATTAATTTCAAAGAAAACTAATCTCTTTGATTTAAAACACTATCTTTTTACTTTCAATTTAATGAAAGATTCATTCATTCCGTTATAACTTTTATTATAAATTAGTTTAAATTTCTCAAAAATTTAAATAAAATAAATTTTTAAATTAAAAAGTATATCTTAAATTAATAAAATAAAAAAGATAAAGAAAAATAAATCAAATAATAATCTATCAAATAAATTCAAAGAACTTTATTGTTCTATGTTCACTTTTATAATTAAAGATATCACAATCAAAAACAACTAATTTGTTTTTACAGAAGACTAAGTATCAAATTTGAAAGATGAGTGCAATTTGCTATAGCAGAACCTAAGTCTGATGCACCCGTTGCGCCAATTTAATTGTAACTTTTTAAATAGTGAAGAAATAAATTAGTAAATTAGAGGAAAAAATGAAGAAAAAATATTAAATAATAAGAAATAAATCAATTAATTAATTAAGAACAAAAGCAAAAATTGAAAATAAAAAAATGAGTTAAATTAACAAAGAAAGAATGAAAGAAAGAACAAAAAATAATAAGTAAAATAAAAAAAGAAAAATAAATTAAATAAAAGGCTATCAAATAAATTAAGAAGTTTATTGCCAAAATTAATTTTTATAATTAAAAAATATCACAATCCAAAACAAATAAACTGTTTTTACTCAAGTTCAAGGATCAAATTTGAGAGATTAATGCAATTTGCTAAACCAGAACCTAAGCCTGATGAACCTTTATCACCAATTTAATTACCACTATTTAAATATTGTAAAAAAAATAAATAAATAATTTGTTAATTAGAAGAAAAAAATGAAGAAAAAATATAAAATAATAAGAAATGAATAAAGGAATAATTTATTTTCTTAAATTAATTTTTATAATTAAAATTATCACAATCAAAAATAAATAAACACTTTTTACCTAAAGTACAGTGACAAATTTGAGATATTAGGGCATTTTGCTAAAGCAGAACCTAAGTCTGATGCACCCATTTCACCAATAAAATTGTTACTTTTTAAATATTGTAGAAAAAATATATAATAAATAAATTAGTGGATTAGAAGGAAAAAATATGAAATAATAAGAATTATATTAATAAAGAAAGAAAGCAAAAGGTGAAAATAAAAAAATAAAAAAGAAAAAGCAAGAACAATAAAAAGAAAAATAAATCAAATAAAAAGCTATCAAATAAATTAAAGATATTTATTGTTTTTAATTTATTTTTATAATTAAGAATATCACTATCTAAAATAATTAAATTGTTTTTACCGAAGGTTAAGTGATAAATTTGATATATTAGGGCAATTTACTAAAGCAGAACCTAAGCCTGATGTTCCCATTGAACCAATTTAATTGTCGCTTTTAAAATATTATAGGAAAAATATATTATTAATTAGTAAATTAGGATTAAAAAATGAAGAAATAATATGAAATAATGATGAATTAATAATGAGTAAAAGGTAAAATAAAAAAATGAGTTAAATTAACAAAAAAAAGAAGAAATAACAAGCACAATAAAAAGAAAAATTAATCAAATAAAAAGCTATCAAGTAAATAAAAGAGCTTTATTGTCTTATATTAATTTTTAAAATTAAAAATATCACAATCAAAAATAAATAAACTAAATTTACATAAGATTAAGTGACAAATTAGAGATTTTAGGGCAATTTGCTAAAGCAGAACCTAAGCCAGATGCTCCTGTTGCACCAATTTAATTACCACTTTTTAAATATTGTAGATAAAATATTTAATTAATTAGTTAATTAGAAGGAAACATGAAGAAAAAATATGAAATAATAATTAATTAATAATAAAACCAAATTGTGAAAATAAAAAAATGAGTTAAATAAAAAAAAGAAGAAAAAAAAAGCACAATAAAAAGAAAAAGAAAAATAAATACAAAGAGCTTTATTGCTTTATATTTATTTTTATAATTAAAAATATCACAATCCAAAACAAATAAACTATTTTTACAAAATTGAAAGTGTCAAATTTGAGAGATTAGTACAATTTGCTAAAGCAGAACCTAAACCTGATGCACCCACAGCCCCAATTTAATTGTCACTTTGTAAAATAAACAAAGAAAAATATAAAATAATAAGAAATGAATTACCATACTACCTCTAAACCTTGTACCTAGTAGTCTGAACAAAATCACTTTAACAAAAATCAATTAATTATGGTTAAAAAACCCTTCCTCAGTACAAATTTTACCAAGATTTAGAGGGAATATGATAATTTACAATAAAAGTAAAAGGTGAAAATAAAAAAATGATTTAAATTAACAAAGAAAGAAAAATAAATAACAAGCGCAATAAAAAGAAAAAGAAAAATATATTAAATAAAAAGTTATCAAGTAAATAAAAGAGCTTTATTGTCTTAAATTGATTTTTATAATTAAAAATATCACAATCCAAAACAAATAAATTGTTTTTACTCAAGTTCAAGTCTCAAAGTTGAGAGATTAGTGCAATTTGCTAAAGCAGAACCTAAGCCTTATGCTCCCATTGCATCAATTTAATTTATACTTTTTAAATAATGAATAAAAAAATAATTAGCTAACTATAAGGAAAAAATGAAGAAAAAATATGAAATAATAATAAATCAATTAATAATAAAATCAAATGGTGAAAATAAAAAAATTAGTCAAATTAATAAAGAAAGAATTAAAAATAATAAACACAATAAAAACAAAAAGAAAAATAAATCTAATAAATTAAAGAGCTTAATTGTCTTAAATTAGTTTTTATAATTAAAAGCATCATTATTAAAAACAAATAAACTGTTGTTACTAAAGTGAAAGTGCCAAATTTTAGAGTTTAGTGCAGTTTGCTAAAGCAGAACCTAAGTCTGATGCACCTTTTCCACCAATTTTATTGCCACTTTTTCAATATTGAAGTAAAAAATATTTAAATAATTAGTAAATTTGAAAGAAAAAATGAAGAAAAATATGATATAATAAGATTAATTAATAATAAAATAAAAGGTGAAATAAAAAATGAGTTAAATTAATAAAAATAGAAGAAAAAATAGCAAGAATAATAAAAAGATAAAGAAAAATAAATCCAACTATAAAATAAATTGAAGAGCTTATTGTCTTAAATTAATTATTTAAAAATACCACAATCCAAAAAAATAAACTGATTTTACCCAAGGTTAAGTGACAAATTTGAGATATTAGTGCAATTTGCTAAAGCAGAACCTAAGGCTGATGCTCCCATAGCACCAATTTTATTGCAACTTTTTAAATATTGTAGATAAAATATTTAATTAATTAGAAGGAATAAATGATTAAATTAACAAAGAAAGAAGAAAAAATAATAAGCAAAATAAAATAAAAAGAAAAATAAATTAAAAAAAGGCTATCAAATAAATTAAAGAGCTTTATTATTTTTAATTAATTTTTATAGATCACAAATTTAAAACAAATAAACTGTTTTTACTAAATTTAAAGTGTCAAATTTGAGAGATTAATGCAATTTGATAAAGCAGAACTTAAGCTTGATGCACCCATTTCACCAATTTTATTGGCACTTTTTAAAAATTAAAGAAAAAAAGTATAAAAATAATGAGTAAATTAGAAGGAAAAAATATGAAATAATAAGAAATTAATTAATTAATAATAAAAGAAAAAGGTGAAAATAAAAAAATGAGTTAAATTAGCAAGCAAAGAAGAAAAAAAGTAGTACCATAAAATGAAAAATAAAAAGCTATCAAATGAAATTAAATAGCTTTATCTTTTTAAATTAATTTTTATAATAAAAAATTTCACAATCCAAAACAAATAAATTATTTTTTACCCAAGGTTTAGTGTCAAATTTGAGAGATTAGTGCAATTTACTAATGCAGAACCTAAACTTGATGCAGCTTTATCATCAATTTAATTGTAACTTTTAAATATTTAAGAAAAATTATTTAATTAATTAGAAGGAAAAAATGTAATTATAAGAATTAAAATAGTTTTAATATTTTAAATTATTTTTTATAATTAAAAATATCACAATCCAATACAAATAAGCTGTTTTTATCAAATATAAGTGCTAAAAATAATAAAATAAATAAAAAATATCCAATAATAAAATAGATAACAAATAATTTACAATTTAAAGTGAAAATTCAGTTAAAATAGCTAAAAAAATATTTGTATAAATAAAATCAATGAATAGATGAGAATCTCTATTAGAAAAATTATATTATTAATAAAATGTAAGTTAAATAAATAAAAAATTATGATAATAATATTTATAAAATTAAATATACCTCAGATTAATATGGAGAACCTAATGAGATTAAAGTGAAGAGTTTAAAAACTTTTTTTGTTAAAATAAATAAATTTAAACTATATTTATAAAAAAATAAATAATTACTTCTTCTAATTTTTCATAATATTTAATCTACTGAATCATTTATTTTTTTTCAAAAATATTGAATAGCAATATATGGAAATTTAATTAATTATAAATTGATAAAAAGAACAAATAAAATATAATAATTATCAGATATTAATTTATAAATTTACTTTATATCACAAAAAATTTAGTATTGCTAAGTGCAGTTATTTTCTTTGTATAGGGAGATAAATAGTGATAGGTTACACCTCTAACTTTTTATCTCTCTAATAGAAATTAATATTATATTAAATAAATTTAAAATAGTATTTCTTAAATATTTATATACTGTAAATGCTCATTAATTAAGGCCTATTTTAATTAAGGCATTTTTTTCTTAAATTTTTTATTATTACAAAATTTAGAATATTTTAGACTCCATTTATTTTAGATGAAAAATTAATATTTTCTTTCTAATTTATTATTTTTATTTAATATGAAAAATCTAATTAAAATTTTGTTTTTAATAACAAAATGATAATTTTGCCAATAAAATATAAAAACTTAATTGTATGATAAATTCTTATTCCCGCTATTTAGTTCAACCTAAATAACAGAATTTTATTTCATGTAAATGATAAAGAAAATTGACTTATTTATTTTTAATAAATATTGGCTTTAACTTCATTTTAAATAATATCATTTTTAGATTAAAAAAAATAAATTTTAAACTAAAATAATAGCAAATAAATTACATATATTTAATTTTTCTTCTATTTTATAATTTATTGTAAATTAATTAATTAATTATTTGTATAACGAAGATCTAATTTTTACATGATAATTTTAGAAAAAAATCATCTTATTATGGCAATTTTAAAAATGTCAATGTGTTTTACGATACTTTGGATTTGATAATATATTATCTATTTCTTATTAAACTCTTTTAACCTCATCTTTGTTAATTTAAGTGTAAATATATTTGATTCTTTATAAAGACTCAACAGTGTCTTAATGATAGAGTCCATATATCATTTTTCTCAGCTCATAAGCTTACATATGATAATTAAGAGCAGTTTAGTATTCCTTCATTTAAATATAAGCAGATCCGAGAGCTATATTTGAATATATTAAATGTACATAAGCACTTTTGTTTCCTTAATTGAACTAATATTATCTAATATCTAATGCTTCTAGCTTATATTATAGCCCGACATCTATTTGATTGAGTTTGTCATAAATACTTCCTATGAAGCTTAAAGATACTGCAATTTATAAATCATTTTAAGGATAGACTTTTTTCTTCATTTCAAGAGACCTTTAGCCATAGTCTAGAGCTTTTTATAAATCATTTAGACCAAAATAGCACCAACTAAGCATATATAAACAAGATGCTCCGTTTATAGAATCTCCTTTGTGTGCTTCTATGGATTATAAAAATCCTGTTTCTGCATACTTTAATGTGTTATTATAATCCTGAGATTTCATATAACTTGAAGCAATTTTAGTATTTATTTAAGCTAATTTCAAATTATTATTTGGTTGAGTTTGTTAATAATATGAAAGGGCTTTTAATCTCAACTCTAAAGATTTGAAAGCATCACCTAGCTCAAAAAATATATCTGAAGCTTCCAATTCAGAATTCACAACATCTTGTTTTTGACTATTTGGAAGATTATTTAATACTATTATTTATGCGAGTTTATTGAAAGCTCTTGCTTTTTAAATAAAGGGTACATTCTAAATAAAGGAGTAAGGATCTTTTTTTACTATAAATTCCAATTGATTATATACTTTATTCAATCCTTACTAAGTTAAAGGAAGCAAAGGTAATAAAGCATGAACTATTTCATAAGATTCAATTCTTTTTTCTTGAGCTAATGAGAAAAAACTGTCTATAAGAAGCTTTTAAAGTTACTTGAATCTAAATCCATCAACGATTTATTGATCAGTAAAATGACCATTCTATATTTATTTAATTATTATATCATCAATAGGATATCCAAGCACTTCAAAAATAATTAGAGCCATAGAAAATACATCAGATTTTTCATTCACAGCCTATACATTACCTTTTTCAATCATTTAATCTAATTCAGGAGAGCCATATCTAGAGCTAGACTTTAAATAAGAAATAGCTGCCTATTTATCAATTTTTAAAGAAACATATAGACTTAAGTCATTAATTTTATAAAGACCATCATCTTATTTAACAATCTTAGAAGGTTCTAAATTATAATGAGTAATTTGGTTTAAATGAAGTTCTTAAACTATTAAGCATAGATTAATTATGCTTAAGCTGATTGCTTCATCTTAAAACCAGCTTCCTTTTTCTCTCAAACTTTACATTTCGTCTTTCAGAGTTGTTGAATAACACTCAGAAACAATAGCAGCTATAAAAATGTCTTCAAAGTAAATCATTCTTAAGTACTTCACTATGTATTAAGTATCCTTCAAGGCAATCAAGCTATCATATTGATCTTTTATAGACTAGTATTCATTTTTATTCTATTATTAGATATTGATTTATACGAATTTAGAATCATTATTAGAATAAGCTTTTAAAATTTCTCCTTAAACTCCCTTTTATAAATATGAAATATTTGTATAGCCATTTTAATTTAGTTTTTGTGAAATCAAATCAATAATGACACTAGGAAAACTATTCACTAAAGACTTCCAATTTTGTAAATCTTGTTTTACGTAATCCATGTTTTATTTTATTACTTAAATGTTTCTTTTTGCTTTTAATTGTTTTAAAATTTAATATATTTATCTCATAAATGTAATTGCTCTTTTTATAACCTTAGATTGATTAATTAATAATAACCTTATTTAATTTAAGTTGTTTGCTGATCATCTAAATTATCTATCTATTTTAATTGGTTATGTAATTCTTTTACAATTTAAATTTATATTCAAAAAATTATCAGGTTTTAATAGAAAATCTAAGCCTTAAGACTTCTACAAAATCTGCAATTTCAATTAATTGTATAATTACATTAATTAATAAATAATTGCGCACCATAAATATTTTTCTGCCACTTAATTTAAAGTCATCCATCGATAATTGTCAATTCAAAAATCTTTTCTAAATTATATCATACTAATTGCAAAGAAAATAATTTTTAATAACATGATTTAAAAAAGGAAATATTTTTGTTATCCTTTTGAAAAATTAATATAAAATTCAGCAATCGAATTATCGAATAGAGTAATTACATTTAGATAATTTAGATTTGATTTTTAAAAATTTACTCTCCTGATTGTTCTATTAATTTATTTGATTTATAATTTGAATTAAATTTAAAAAAAATGATATTATTTTTCAAACTTAATAAAAATATCACTAATTTAATTTATATTCAATTATTGTTGTTTTCAATAATTAAATATAGGCTCAGATATTATAGAAATTAATTCAATATATTGGCATAAGTTAATTAAAATTTACTTTTATTTTTATTTTAAATGTTGTATTTAACTAATAAAAGTATGGCTTTTTTGGTCTAAACTACTGAGTATCTTTTAATAAATTTATAAAAAATTAAATTCTAATTACTTTAAATCCTCATAAATTTTCACCATATTTTCTGAATATATATATATATATATATATATAGATTTTAGCATTTATTTTTAATAATCAGCTATATCCTTTTTAAATATTCTAAAGTTTAAGGTATTTTTTATATTTTATATTTTTTATAGTTTAAATTTAAGTTAAGTTCTAATATATTTAACAAAATAATATAACTAACTAACGAATAAAAACAAATCTTTAAATTTAGAATCATTTTATTAAACTCATATAACTAATGAATGAAAGAAGGTCTTTTAATTCTCAATTACTCAAAATTATTTATTAGATTTATATCTATAAACCTTTAATTAGAATTAAGTCCTTACTAACAAAAGAATTTATGCGAATTATTAACTTATTAATATTAATTTAATAATAGATAGACGCTAAAGCATAAATATCTTAGATAAATTTGATACTTTAAAATTTATTTTTGAGTACCTTTTAAATAATTAAATTTCATACATTGTTAGTTATTAATATCTTTCTAACTATTTGGATTTCTTTGTTAATTATCCATTTTTAATTTTAAATTCTATCAAATAATAACTCTGAAAAGGGATGATTATGCTCTTGCTGCAATCTCAATTTCTAAAAATGTATTATAAGTTTATGATAGATGGCTTTAAAAAAAATGGGATTAAATTAATATTTTAAAATCTTAAAATAGTTTTCGCCTAATAGAATTATCTAAAAAATAATTAAAAATTTATTATTTAAATTCGAATCAAAGTTTTATGTAAATATACTCAAGTAAAGTGAATTAAACATGTTTTTTAATATTTTTTTATGATTAATTAAATTATGAGAAAAGAAGGAACTTCTGTTTTAGATTTATATAATGATTAAATAAATTAAAAATTAAAATATCTGTAAGTAAGTAATAGAACTAAATTCAGATTAATTTGTATTGGATATCCTTTTTTTTGCATCATTTCCTATCTAAATATTTGAAATACAAATTATTTAAAATAACAAAAATAAGTAGACGAAAAAATTAAAGTAAAAGTAAAATAAATTGATTGATTGATTGATTGACTCATTTTATAGAAATTAGAAAAAGAAAAATGATGTATGGAAGGTATTATCACAATATAGCATTAAATAGAGTAATAAAGTCTTTAAATACTCCTAAAAGATGTTTTATTTAATTAAAAAAAGTTTTTAGATCAAGACTTTTCTTCTTACCATGTTTTAGAGCTAGACTTATAGTATATTTATTTTTCAAACTTTCTTTTGTATGTTTGATATGAAGATTTTTCTTGCTACAATACTTATTTATTTTATTTACTAAATATTCAAATTGCTTTTTATTTAGATAGGGCTCGCTTTCATAAAATAATATGGCTTCCTTAGCATCAAGCTTAACATAATGCATTCATCTTAGAAAACTAACTTTGTTGATAAGGTAATCAGCTTAGATTTTGAAAATAAAATCAAAACAAGAGTTTTTTTTACCCTCTAATTTAATTATTTTTAAAAGATATTTATTATTCCTATATAATAAAAGAAGTAAAAAATTAAATGATGATATGATATCTAATTTAGCTTCTGAATTGCCAAATTGCAGTCAATTACAATCTTTGACTCTCTATTTAAAGTATTAATTTAAATAAGATAAAAATCAATAAAAAATTAAAATCTATTTTATGTTTTGATATTCAACCAATATTTAATAATTCACATTTTTGTTGAAGGGCCAATCAAATAAAAGCAAAAGGATTGATAAATTTGAGCTCTTGTCTAGTTAAATGCTTTAATTTGAAATCTTTAAATCTCAACTTGTCGTAAAATTAATTTTTTTATTTTAAAATTATTTTTAAACCTTCAAATTCTAAGCAAAAATGAAATTGGAAATGAAGGTGTGGTTTCAATGAGTTAATTCTTATAAGATTGCAAAAATCTAGAAGAATTAAATCTTAATCTGAGGTAAATTAGCTTTAAGTTTTTATTTAATCAAAGTTACTTACTTTTATAATGTAAAATTAGGTAAAAATTTTTCGAGATTTTTGAGAAGTTTATGAATTAGGCATTGTAGATAGATTACATTTTTTTTATAAAAATAAAGAAAAACTGGAATAAATGAATAAACTGTGATAACTTTAAGTTCTAATATATCAAAATGTGTAATCTTAAAATCTTTAACTTTAAATCTCAGGTAAATACTATTGGTCTAAAACAAACTTTAATGCAAATATTGATTTAAAAGCAAAAAAATAAATTAAATAACCTTTTTATAAATATAAATTTGAAAGTCAAAATAACATTGATTCGTAGGGTTCTGCTGGTTTGTTTCCTAGCCTATTAAATATTCAAAGTCTTTTAAATCTCTAATTAAAATTGGTGTAAGATTATTGTATTTAATTACTTTTAATAAAATATAAAGAATTTATGAACATAAATCTTAAGATACTTAAAAAAAAAAATTATTTATTCAGTACTATCAAACTAATGTTGAAATATTTTTTATCAAAAGATAAAATTAACTATAATTTGATCAGGATCCTGTTTCTACCTTTGCTTAGACTGATTGCAAAAATCTCTAATCTTTTTCACTTTATTTGAAGTATAATCAAATCTATATTTGCTTAATTCGTAATTTCCTTATATTACATACAAGCTATAACAAAGTAAACTCTGAAGGGATTGTCTTTATAACATCGATTGTAGATCAATTAACAAACTTGAATAGTCTTTCAATCAGCTTAAAGTATTTAAGATATTTATCACTTATTTCTTTTGGGGGGGGGGGGGG